TTTTTTTTAAATTAAACACTATCTAAAGATTTGCATCGAAACGTTTATTTTTGATAGTGATTTTAATCACTGTCAGATATCATTATACTTAAGCCAACTATGCCATGTCTCCACTGTGCCGCGACCCCCCTGTGCTGGGTATTTTTATGTTCATCCCATAAACCTGCAAGGTATTTTCCCGCTAGGATCCTAACAGTTGGCTATGCTGTTTCTAAATGGGGCTACGCTGGTCCTATATAATTTATATTCCACTAGAAGGGCTGTAAGCGATTTTTTTACCAATAAAATTTAAAATCTTAATCAAAAACGATAACAATTATTTATTTCTATTTAAATATTACATATAATTATAATTAGACTAGATATTAAGAGATGTTAACTTGGGTAACCCCAGTAAGGTATGTCGACGTCGGCAAATGTACACAGGACCCCATTAATAATACGAATAATTATAATAACTATAAATTATTAAACTACTGTATAAGAAGAGTTGCCGCGAGAGTGGAAAAATTTCAACTGGTTGTTTTCGATGACTCTTGGTTTTTCAAGCTATTGAGCTTATTGTACAAGGATTCCACTTTATTTTTTCAAATGACAATATACATAATTAACTAGCTTATATAATGTATAATGATTTAATGAAGAAAATTATTGTTCGAAAACAAATTATGGACCAAGAGTGTTGCGGTCATCGAAAACAACCAGTTGTTATGTGTCATTATAACATTATACTTCCAGGTAACAATAGAAATAAATTTTTTAAAACTACATTATCTGAAGAATTATTTATAAGTAAAACTTTTAAAATGTGTATCACATTGTAAATATATGGAGTTCTTATTACGTTTTGACATTTTAAATAATTTTTGACCCATGGAATATTTTGTGTTATTGTTAGAATTTTTGGCTAAGAGATTTAAAAAAATAACTTGAAATTTTATATCCCTTACAAATTTTTTCAAATTTTTGATTTTCAACAGTAATATAATGATAGTACTAGATAGATAATTCTAGATTAAACAATCAGCTTGATATTAATAATTGCTTATAAAAATAAAAAATGTATTTATAAGTACATTTTTTTTTAAAAATCATAATTTTACGAAAGAATTAGTGTTATCATTTTTAATAAATCACTCTATGTAAATTTATATATTCATATTTAACATTTATTGTATATCAATAATTAAAGGCCAATTATGTGTAGTGCATAAATCATATAAATTTGCTTTGTTTTATAAGTTTTTTATTTTATTCTTTTTAGATCTATACTGTACATCTCTACTAATTAATATTTTTTAACAACAATATTTATTACAAATCGTATCTAGTCGAAGACATTACCCTTAAAAATTGAAAAAAATTCCTTCGTTCCATGTAAATGAGGGAAATTTCCAAAAAAAGTACAATTTTTCAAATCGGTAAATTTTGTCTTTTTTTTTTCTTATAACTAACATACCTTTTTTTTTTTATTGAAATCTTAGATATTTTCCTTTTATTCGATATAATTTTATTGAAAATCAAACACTTAACCTGCTCACAGGGGGAGATTTAAAATAGCAACTTTTTTTTTACAAAAACTAGCTTTTTCAACTTAACTTTCGAAAATGTTACGGAAATACTGCATCCTTTAAACGTATATCAAATTAAAGCTTATGTCATGTACTATAAAATGAAAAAAAAAAAATTTAACCTCTGAACTTGTCTTCATGGTGAAAATGACGACACTGTAGTTAAAAAAATTCTATATTTGTGTTAAAATTTTCAACTTTAAATTACTATAACATTTTGAATAATGTATGTATCAACGCAATTTTTTTTCCTAAATAAATTATATATACCTCTTTCATTTAACCTACTTTTTATTTAAATTGGACAATTTTTCTTTATACAGGGGGCTTTCAAAACTTGAAAAATACGTATAAAAAGATCTTTTTCAACTTAACTTTTGAAAATGTTCCGGAAATACTGTGTTCTTTAAACATATGTCAAATTATAGCTTACAATAAATACTATAAATTCAAAAAAAAAATTTGTCCCGACATAATGCATAATCCTCCTGTGCTTATGGTTGGTAAATAGAAATAGCAATGCGAGATTTTTTTAATTAAGAAAATAGTGTTTTAAATTTCAAAGTACCAAACATTTTTTAACAAACAAAAATTTCAAACAAGATTAAATATGAAGATTTTATAAGATTTCAAGTTATTTTTTTTAAATCTCTTAGTCAAAAACTCTTAAAAGAAAACTTATGATTTAATGTTCTTATCTTTTACTTAAATACATATTTTTATTTCTTCAAAAAAATCGTTTGGAGTAATACTGTGCAATTGGTTTGACGGAAACATACATAGTTATTAAACGTGTATTATGTTTAATATAACATAATTTCAGATTTTATTAGAACAATGCACATATTTTTGAAAATAAAAATTCGAAGTATTTTGACTAGCTGTAGATTTATCGAGTCAGGAAACAAGTTCCTGTAGACTCAGACCTGTAGGTCCATTTTGCGCACCTCTTACCGAAATACTAATTCGATTACTTTACATAAGTGTTTCCACTGAAATGTTTTTGCCATTTTTTGATTATCTAAGACTATACTATAGGGCATCCTACTATACAATATATATTATATATTATATAACATATATTTATTTACCGGCTTTTGGCGTTGTAAGTTAGACATTTTTAAATAGAAAATTTCAATTTATAAATTTTTTAAATAAAAAATTTATGAAATAAATATTTAAAATTGTTTTAATGATAATTTGAAAATAGTTAATAGATAATAATGTTTACGATCAGTTATACTTAGAGTTCGGATTTACGTGCAAATAAATTATTAAAATTATAGCATTTAATAGTAAAAATTTATTAAATTATTATTTTAAAGTTAATAAACCATTCAAAGATCATTTATTTTTGACTAATAAAACATAAAAGCATTTTTAGTCCATAATTTGGTTTGTCCATTTATTAGTTCATAGTTATGGATTTATATACAAAAAAGTTACTTAAAATATATTCCACTAATAAAATTAGGGTTACTTATTAAGAATTTACAGTTTCTTATATTTTATTCTAGCTTCTATTGTTTCATAATTATTATTTTTTAAAATAATAGAAAATACATTTTAAGTAAAGAAGTCATATTTTCTTATTCTTTGTGATATTTTTTATAAAATAGAAGTACAACTGACTAACGTTATTATGTTTTTATATAACTAGATTCGTCTATTCCATGCAATTCAATTATTCACGAAATAAAAATTCCATTTTGGCTTTTTTTAATCTTAAGTACTTTTTTGGTCCATCCATTATATACTATAAGGGTATCAACTTTTTTTTTTAATGGTAACATTAACAGATTTAACTAGTTTATAAAATATAAAATTATCCAATTTAAAAAATGCCTGATTAACTTTTGAACCAGTAGTTCCGAAGTTATTATAAATTTAAAATATATCCTAACAATACTATTGGTTAGGTACGATTAATGATTATTTTAAAATTATTAACATTTGTATACCTAGATGAAAATAGGCCGAAGAACGTCCAATGATAAATAATTGAGAGTTATTCACATATATTTATATTTAAATTTAGAGATAATTAAACTAAGAAGATAGTAAATAAAAAGTTCTTAAAAAAAATTTTCAACTTTTCCGATATTTCTAGAAATTACAAAAAATTTTCTAAAAATGTCGAAAATTTCCGGTAATTTTATTACTACTGGTTTTTTTTACTTCATATTGTTTTATAGTTTTTTAATTTAAAATTCAATAAATGATAATTCCTATATCAAATTACAAAAGCAATACTCACATCTTTTAGGCAACATCAGTGGCTGAGCACCATATGATATCATATATTTTGAAGCAGTAATGTCAAACATTCGCGTTCAGTATTTACTATTGTTATTGTCAAAGTAATATAAATATTACATTACATGAATATAGTAACAAAAGGTCATAGAATCACGTGAACAACATACAAGTACTTACCGATGACCAGACACGACCATAATTGTGCGATATCCATGCGCAACAATTTTATTTTTATTAGGTTTATTTTTAAAGCTAAATATTTCTATTACGGTTATCATCACATTGTTCTGTCGCATTAGTGATTCGTTATGGTTGTTAAATCGCCGAAAGTTAATCGACTGCTTAATATTACTCTCCAAAATCGTTAAACAATTTAATTTTCTGGGTGTTTCTTTAAACTATATATTTTTATTATTTTGATATATTTTGGCAATTACAATTAAATGCTATTTTGTAATACAATTTTTACTACTTATTTTTGAAAAACAATAGTCGGAGTGTTTCCGAAATGGGTGGACAAGCTACTAAAATCTCGTAAGTTAATAGATTTAATTGTTAAACATAACATATCAATTTGTGACATAACTATTCGAATATTTATGTTTTTGAATAGTTCATATGCCTATATAATTGTTCTCTTAAATAAGTATAAAATTTATTTAATGTTGAAACATTTTTTTTTAGTTATGAGAAAGTTGGTTTTTATGTTTTAAATATATAAAATCCCTAAATGTATTCAAATGTTATAAACTTTATAACCGTTATAAATATTTAAGTGAAAATTGGAGAGGTCTTGGAAAGGCTTAGCATCTCTATAAATATTTAGCACACAGAAAATGTATAGACTTCATCTCTTACTGCATTAATAATAAAAAAAAACCTTTTTTATAATATTATCCAGTTTTTTTATTATTTATTATACTAATAAAAAAAGTGTAGTATAAAAAAGGTTTGTGTAATAATCATATTACGTTTTAGCGTAAATTTATATGTATTTTATATGTCTTGGACAGATGTGGAGAGAGTTAAGATGGATCTTAATGGACTTGCTCGATACAAATATTACATGTCCTTCCTAGGAAAAATAAAAATAGCATCAATTCTGAATTGATAATGTTTTATTTTATTTAAATAATATTTTGACATTATATTTTTAATTTTATCATAAAAATATTAATTTTGTTCTTTAATTATTGTAATGATACATTTTAAAATTCATTAAGTTGTTTTTAATACTTCTTTTTTAGAATAATGTGGAAAGTTAAGTATGTTGATATTAATGTTGAAGACATAATGTTTCTCTTTTAAATCTTTTGATAATAAATAATTTAAAATTTAATTATTTATTTTATACATATATATAATATATTTTATAATATAATATAATATATTTTATAATATATATAATAATTTATATATATTTAAGGGTCATTTAATGACTAAGGTACAATATATAAAGTATTAAAAAAATATATATAAATTTGTGTAGAACTTATACTATAAACATATACCAAAATTATTTGAAATTAACAATTGCTTAAATTACAATTAAGATAAAATACTGTATATATTTAAAATAATTAATTAATAACCAAAGCCAGAGTAAACTTTTTATTGTTTAAATAATATTTATGAAATGGTCCAATAATTAATTAATTAATTATTAAAATAAATTGGTTTCTATTTTTAGCATCGATGCGAAGCTAAGAAAGTATTAATTTTACTATGATGTGTTTTTTTATTTAATTTTTTGTATTTGTTACTACTTTTTCTCAGTTCTCATCGAACCGATTTCTTTCGACGATACGTCAAAATATACGGTACGTATATTTTTAGCTTCGATGCGAAGCTGAGAAGGTATTGGTTTTACTATGATGTGTTTTTTTTTTTTTTTTGTGTCTGTTACCACTTTTTCTCAGCTTTGCGTAGTGTGTCGCGGTGGTCACACTAGTTGTTGACAAAACTCTAGTGTTAAGCCGCGCCTATCGCCGTAGGTGAAAGGATGGATGACCATGCGTGCACTTCTATGGTGGCGAAAATCACCATCTGTCTAGTGCTGTAGGTAACGAGAAACCACTGTATTTAATTTCCCCAGGATAGCTATGAGAAGGCTTAGTTTTAGAAATAGAAAGAGAGAAGATGACAAATTGAATAATAAAAGTATATTTTTGACTCTGATGAAAATTTTTTGCAGACCAATTATTCATAATTAACAACAAATTATTATCTAAAAAGTTTTGTGTCAAGCCCTTTAATTTTTATACACGTTTGTCATAAAAGTATCAATCTCATACTATATTTAATTGCTATAATAAATATTCATTCATATATTATACTTTTAAATAAAAAAACTACTCATCAGGAGTAATAAAGGAAATAAGAATTCATATAGTTTCTGGAATAGTCCACCAATTTATTAAAATTAAACATGATCTACAGATTTGCATCGAAGTGTTTCTTACGATAGTGATATTAATCACTGTCAGATATCATCTATACTTGTCTCAAATATGCCACGTCCACACTGTGGTGTCGCGACCTTACTGAACTACCGTTTTTTACATCTTACATTTATTGTACAATCTTCAAATTATAATTGTACCGTAACAAGAGTTAGGTCCTGGAGGTAGGATTGGGAAAAATTTTTGATAACTCCTCCGACGAAAAATAATTTTAACAGAGTGATATCATTGACTACTAAATTTTTCTTTAAATAATAATATTTTTTTTTAGTGTTTTTTTCTTAAAAATTAAAAAATAGTCTTATTAAGAAACTGACTGATTGGTATCATTTTTTTAATCATAAATAATATTATGTTATTATTTATAATATTAGCATATAATATGTTATCTTTTGTATACGTATGTCACATATTATAAATTTACATGATCCTCAAAACAGAGTTACCTTCTTTAAAACTTAAAATAACCAGTTAACTAAGGAATAAAATCTGACTATTATACACATTTAAAGTATCGCCTATATGTAGATTCTCAAGTCCAGCCAATCGCATTTAACAATAAATTATAATCTCCAGCTTTCAAGATCACACTGGGGATCGCTACACTACACTCCTCTGACTATAATAACCCATTTTTTCATATTAAAATAAGTTCTTTCGGTTATTTGAAAATACACAAAATCTGCGACACTTTCATCAAGATCCTCATTCTCTGGGACTTTCACAATTTTTTTAGACTATTTATTTCCAATTTAACGGAATTTAGAATTAATTTAAAGTGAAGTTTGTTTTGGTGAATCTTTTATTTTAATACGTAAAATTGCTTTGTTTTAAGTATTTTATGTATTCAACAAAAATTATCATGTGTTAAATATATTCCACATATTTTCTCTTTTGGTAAAATTTTGATCTGAAGATTTTAACCTATTCAATATCATGAGTACTATAATTAACAACATATGAAAATAAAAATCAGCACCAGATTAGCTTAATATAAAATCTATATATAACCAATAGGTTTATTTAAAAATTATCATATGTTCTGTACAAATGGTGTGTATTAATTGAGTATATTATTATATAATAGAACAAGGAAAAAAACGCTTTTCTGGGAAAATTACTTAGCGTGCTCGGATTTTCAAAATTTTTTTTTTCGACGAAAGTACTCGGTCACCAGACTCCGGGAAAATTATTGGCGAAGGTCGGAAAATTTTTGCCGCTCGCCCGCGAGCGTTTTAAAATTTCGACCGTTTTCGAGAAAAACGCTCGCTGACGCCAGCGTTTTACGACTTAAGGATTGAAATTTTCATCAGACCCGCCCAATGACATTCCTGAGATATGATAAAAAAATCAATTCAATCCGTTCATTTTTCACCGTTTTACGAGCTTTTTTTTTTTCATGCGCTCGAGACGCCAGGGCGCGCCGCCCGAAATTCTTGCGACACTTTACGACATGAAAACGATTTTTTTTACGATTCGCAATCATACCACGGCGTTCTGTACGTGCCAAGGAAGCGCCAAAAATCGGAAAATCCCAGATCCGACAAAAACTCTGGCCGCTACGAGCGTTTGAAATTCATCAAATTTTAACGGAAAATGACGATTTTTCTGTTAGCTAATAATACACATGTACGCGTCCTATTATATCTTATTATATAATAGAACAATGAAAAAAACGCTTTTCTGGGAAAATTACTTAGCGTGCTCACGCGCATGGTTTTATTATGCGCAGTGATTCATTTCTGCTGATACGTTTATTATGAACCTTAATTTTAATCAAGGAATGTTATATGTTATATATAAATTTCATGAAGTTATAATTATTTAAGTTTGTACTTTCATTATAAGAACAGTACTAAGTACAGAGTTAATAATTTTCTTTTTTCTCATATATGATGTATGAGACTATGAGTTTATCTTTTGAATTGGGGATTGTTTATGAAAACTATGATGTTCATCGTTAAATCGCAGTTACCAATATATTTATCAATATTAAATTTTTATTTTTATTTTTATATTAATTTTATTTTAATATTAATTTTAATTTAAATTTATAGTGTGCCACTTATAATAACCTGCTAAATTTTTTTTTAATTATTCTATAATATAAACACAATTATTATAATTAGATTATTAATAATTTTTGTGTATAACAGGGGTGTATTTAAGAGAGATTGGCCCCTCCTTGAACAAGCGCTATCAATATTTTTTTAGGCAACTTCTAATATATAAGGACCTAATGTCCTTTTTTTTCATCATTACTTTAATTTTAGCAAAAAAATTTCTATAACATGTTTAACAAAGTAAAAAATATTAAATTTCCTCCTAAAATAATTTTTGAATAGGCCTAAAGGGAATACCTCATTAAGAGGCTTCAACCTTATACCCAATACATTTTACTATATTCTCTTTTTGAATTTTCCTGATTTTAATAATAACATTTTTAGATATAGTTTTCTATAGTTTTCACTGATTCTGAAGTAATATTTTTTCTGAAAAACACTTATCGTGCCCGGCGTAGCCGGGTACTTCTACCGGAATCAGTCGCCTACTTATGATGACGGCCCGAAGAGGCTTACGCGCCGTAAGGCTCGAAGGGCCCCGGGTCTGGGGCGGAGCCCCAGCTAGGCGGAGCCTAGTACTTATTAAGGTTATTCTTATATTTTAAATTTAGTATATTCACCATCTAATCTCCGAAATATTTTTACATAGTTAAAACAAGTTTTAAAAAATTTGAATAAGATAAATTAATCTTATCCTGTACAGTAATAAAGTTTTTGGATTGAAATATTTCTAGTTAGCTTCAATATACATAGTAGCGCAATTTAATTTTTGGGGACACTAAAATAAGTGTATTTTTACGGTGTACTTAATCGTGTTTAATAATTGTTTGATTTAAAATTAAATAATTTTTATACATGGCCGTATTGGTATTGAAATCAACGAGTACAACTATTTGGGCTTTTGTATAATTTCTTTTCTTTTTGTATAATAATTTAGACGATCGTCATCTACTACAACTACCCCTGATCAAAATTTAAATCCTGAAAATAATGATCTTATAAATGACCAGGAAAATCGAGCTGGAACACTCGAGTGAGTCATTCGTTTAATTGTTTTCGTTTCAATTTTGATAATTTTGTGGTATTATATTTTGAAATATGCATGTATAGAACCTCAGAGAACCCATCATCAATTCCTACGCAAGCAGGATGTACAAATTTATACTGTAATCGACTAGAAATTGTCGCGGAGGAAGAGTGAGTAACTTTTCTGACAGCTATGAAAAATAATAAATATATTTTAAATTTCGTTAGTAATTCATCTTTGTAGGTTGTTTTCTACATCAAATACCTCAAAAGATTCTTCTGGAGAAGAAGTATTTGAAGATGCAACTTCTATAAATGTTTTAGAGCCAATTAAAGAGTGAGTTTTTATTATCAAAATATTTCCTTTAGAACTCATTGGATATTTTTCTTTTTTATTAAAGTTCGGCTAATGCTTTTAAACAGTCATCTGATATAAGTGTTGTATCACCTAGTGTTGTATCAATCGACAATACCTTGTTAGATTTTGAGGTAGTTCATAATACAAAGTTATCACAGTGAGTTAAAGACGTACCTAATTCATTAATTTTTATTAACACATCATAAAAATTATTTTGAAAATTTATACTAGAATGACGAAACTCGAAGTATCTGATAGTGATACAGCTTTAAAAAGAGTTGAAAAAATAGCATTAGCATCTGACAAAAATAATATTTTTACAATAAAAGAGTGAGTTATTTTATTTTAATCTTTTATTGTTCTAGTATTATAAACTGTAGTTTCAATAGTTATTTGTTGTAATAACGTTATTTTTTGTTTATTTTCGTATGAAAAGAAAATGCACATATAATTTCCTCTCTAATGTTGCACTTATCAACAGTTGCCCGTTACAGCTAAAAATAGTTTTTTTTTTTAAGCTTTGTTTTCGTTGTTGTTAGCACTTAGTGTGCTTAAGGTTATCTAGATCGACCGCTAAGCTGTCGAGTTTGTTAGCTATCAGTCAATGAAACATATATATTATTTAACAATTTATTGATCGTTGTATACTAATATTTACTTTTTATTTTCCTTAAATTTAATTGTTCTTTAATTTATTAATTTTATAACTGTGATTTTAAATGTGAGTGTGCTATTTTTTTATAATTGTTAGTGTGTGATTAACTTAGAATTAATTTCTTTAATTTCTAAGCCTATAAAGTGAACTTTATTATTTGTGTATTTTTAAGATTGTTGTAGTCAGATTAAATATTAGTATTTTGTTTTATTAATGTAAATTAATTATATATCTAAAATTGTGTTGATAAATGCTTTTTAGTTCAAAAAATATTTATTGATAATTGCAGCTTATATTATTTTTATTTTAGTATCACAATTTATTTTAGAATTTAGTAGGCCATGTTTCATATATAATTTGTTATAGGAATTTCTAGTATTTGATAGAGAATTATGGAATTTGAAATGTAAAAGGTCAAGCGAATAAGGTTAAATGATATTAAATTGCTATTTTGAGTTAATCATTTTCTAGATTTGCAATAAATAATAATTGTATTATTTGTTATTTTAATTATGCTAACAGTTGTCATTTTAATACCATCACTTTATAATATAGTCATGATTGTATTAAGAAAAATGTTTTTTAGTGAAAAATCAATGGAGATTATACAACCATGTAATAACCATACACGAATTCTCACTCTTGAAGCAAACCATCATTTAGAAAATACTTTATATCGATTAAACAAGGGTAATTTTAGTTATAAATTCTATTTATATTAATTATTTACAAATTTGAATTCCGATAAGAAAATTATTATTTTATATTGAGTATAATTTTTGATGTATCTTTTTTTATACCTAACAGGATGGTACTTGGAGTTTCGTATTGGTCCATCATTATTTGGTAAAGATGTTATTCTTTATACCAATATACCATCTGAAAAAAAACAATTTAATAGGAATATTTATCGCCGTCTTGATTGGATTCGAGAATGGGCTGCAGATGAAATAATAAATGATGATTCTTCTTTATCTTGTGTTGTTCTAATGAATCAAGCAGGCTCTTTTCATTACTATTTTGAATATGAAGGAATAAAGTAGATATGACAACTTTTTATTTTAAGTTATTAAAATTATGATATATGTATATTTTTAATAAATAGAAAGGGTAATGGATTTATTTGTGTGGATCCAAGTTTATCAACAGGAGTTAAAAATATTCCATTAAATTCATTACAAGTGGTTTCGATGTTGACAAAATGTTTAGGACCCTTATCTTCATGGAAATCAAAGTTACAAGTAGCCTATGAAGCAGGTTACAATATGGTTCATTTTACACCCATTCAAGTATAATAAAATATATTTAAAATTATTATGTATTAAATTTAATGTTTAAGATAATAAAGAATAGAGTAAATTAAATAGATATTATAGTTATTTTTATACATAATAATAAAGGTAAAACGATAAGTAATAACTTATTACTCACTATTTTTAAATTTATATTTAAGGAACTTGGTGGTTCACATTCATCATACAGTTTAAAAGATCAACTTGCATTAAATCCATCATTTAATTATAACAACCATAAAGTGACATTCAATGATATCAAATTAATAATTGAAGAAATGAGAAATGAATGGAATGTAAGACTTGTTATAAATTGTTAACTTTTTATTTTTTCAATACATACATTGTTTTTTAGATACTGAGTATTTGTGACATAGTTCTTAATCATTCATCAAATGAAAGTGCTTGGTTAATGGAACATTCAGAATGTGCTTATAATTTAGTAAATTGTCCTTATTTAAAACCAGCATATTTATTAGATTACCATTTGTATCACTTTAGTATTGAAGTGTCTAAAGGTATGTGGGAACTATCTGGAATACCACATATTATCAATGGTGAAGAGCATTTACATGTATGTATAAAATATATTAATTCGTCATATGTACCATATTAATTTTTAAAATTATACTTCAGTTTAATTATTATTATCCAATTGAACTATTATTATTTTTTGATTAGTCCATTAGACATGCATTACTTACAAACTTATTACCAAAAATAAAAATTCATGAATTATATCAAGCTAATGTTGAAAAAATTATTACTGAATTTCAAGAAAAGGTTCGTACTGGGCCACCTCCAACAGTTAATAAATCATTGAATAAAAATGAAGAAATAACTTTGATTCCTGATAAAGAATTCAGAAGATTAGCAGCTATTATAGATATGGATAAAGCTTTAGAAATATATAATATTTATAGGTAAAATGAAATAAATTTTCTTATATTAAATTTTGTAAACTATCATATTTTAGAAGTGATTGTTTTGATGAAGACACCAGACTTCAACATTGTAGTTTTGAGTTGAAACTGAAATTAGAAGAATTGAATCGTAATGTTTTTTGTGTAATTCAAGCTCATTTAGAAGCTGCTATAAATAATTGTATAGCAAGTATCAGATATTTTAGAGTACAACCAGATGGTCCCAGATTAAGTTCTATATCATCTGAAGAACCCTTAGTTCCAAGGTTATTTATTGTTATAATATAGACTGAATAATATTTAAACATACACAATTCTGTGAATAATCATATAGGTAACTTATAATTAGGTACTTTAAAGATTTTGAAAACTTCAGTGCCGAAGAAGTATTATATTCATCAAATGGTCAATTTATTATGGCTCATAATGGCTGGGTCATGGGAGGTGATCCTCTTAAAAATTTTGCTGGACCAAATTCTGATACTTACCTACGCAGAGAATTAATAGCATGGGGAGATAGTGTTAAATTACGGTAAATGAGTTAAAAAGAAAAGGTAATAGTTCTTATTTCCTTATAATTATTTTTGTATGTTATAGATATGGAGATAAGCCAGAAGACTGTCCATTTCTTTGGAATCATATGAAACAATATGTTGAACAAACTGTGAATATTTTTGATGGTGTCAGATTGGATAATTGTCATTCTACTCCATTGCCTGTTGCAGAGGTAAAAGATATAATTATCATTAATAATTTATTTTAATCACTGAAAATTTTTGACACAATTGTTTTTAGTACTTACTTGATGCTGCTCGTAAAATTAGACCTGACTTATATGTTGTTGCAGAATTATTTACTAATTCAGATGCAACTGATAATTTATTTGTTAATAGACTTGGTATTACATCATTAATTCGAGGTAAGTTTTTTGAAATTTTTGCTATATTATAATTAATTACTTTTATTTTTTTAATTTTCATAGTTTTTTTATATATATTTTTTTAATGCTTTATTAGCCCATTAAGGATAGTAGTGGCCTCCCCCAAAAGAGGAGGTTTTTAACCATAGATACTTTGGAGCGGGTGGTTAGTCTGTCACTGGATAGAGGGAGTTGACACACCAATTACCAAACTGGTCTCTTGCTTGACAAATAAAGTCATCCATGACTGAGTTTCAAACCCAAGGCAGTGTGTGTTAAGCACTGCCGTGTTACCAACTTGGCCACACCGCTTCTCTTAATTTTCATAGTATTAAAATATTTTTAAAAATTAATTCATATTATATAATTTATTTTAGAAGCCATGTCTGCATGGGATTCACATGAACTTGGTCGTTTGGTTTACCGTTATGGTGGTGATCCTGTTGGCGCTTTCATTAGACCACAGGAACAACATTTACGTCCTTCAATAGCACATGCTCTTTTCATGGATCAAACGCATGACAATCCCTCTCCAATTGAAAAACGATCAGTTTATGACTTATTGCCTAGCACAGCATTGGTATCAATGGCATGTTGTGCTAGTGGAAGTAATATGGGTTATGATCAATTAGTTCCTCATCATGTAAGTTATTTTTATCTAATTATTTACAGAAATAATTTTTTTATTTTCATGACTAAAAATATTGAATGTAGTATAGGTAAATAATAGTTCCAATATACTGTCTACAAACTATCTTATATACTGTCGCTTATACTGCAACAGTGCATATCTAAAAAATTAACAAAATAAGATTTTTATCATAATATAATTGATATAATGTTATAATATATATGTTTCTGGATATTTTTATTATGTATCTTCTTTTTCCTCGCCTTGATCCCAACTACTTGGGGTCGGATATTTTTATTATGTATATATTTTAAAACTTAGTTTCATTTTATGTAACAGTAATATCACCTGTTGTATTGAAACATATAAAGTGATCGGTTTATCATAAACCACTCGATTATTCATAAAATAAATATGATATTAGAAAAAACAAATTTGATTTCTTTTAGTCAGATATATTTCCTGATTTATCAGCTAAAAATAACATTTTAGGATCATCCCTTATAACTTAAAGGGGTGCCAACTTTATTTTTTAAATTGCAACTGGCATATCTAACTAGCTTATATCATAGATAATTATCTAATTAAGAAAATGACTGGTTTATTACAACTTTTAGAACAGCACTTTGAAAATTACTCTCATTTTTATATTTAGGCGGGATGAAGAGTATGGCTGGGAAATGACTAGTGATAAAAATAGCACACACTCTTCACCACCAATCATTACTTTAAATTGTTAATAACTTCTGAAATGTTGGTACAAAATTTGTTATAAACCAGTCAATTTCTTAATTAGATAATTATCTATTTTATAAGTTAATGAAATATGCATGTTGTCATTAAAAAAATTAAAATTGACACCCCTTTATGTTACAAGGGATAATTCTAAAAAGTCATTATTAGCTGTTATTTACAAATTTATTTTGTGAATAATAAACCGATTACACTGTATAATTAAAATTGTTTTTTGATCATCTGAAAACCTGAAAATTTTGTGATACATACTGTTGCATTATAAACGATAATATGTTGTATCTTGTTTCATTTTAATTCATTTTACAAAAATTAAAATCTTGTTATTTCATTATAAATATATATTTATTATTATATACTTATATACATCTATTATAAATTAAAAATAATTATTTAAATTCAAATTTTGTTTGGATGCTCTTATATTGTTTTACAAGTATTTTGGTAAAAATTGTGTTATAGAATTATAAAATTATTTTAAAATTACTTATTAAAATTATAACATAACTAGTAAATTAATAAATTATAGAAATACAATATGTGTAAATATTTTAGATTGATGTAGTTTCTGAAGAGAGAGAGTACATGGATTGGGTAGACTTAAGCGTTAGTTTTAAAAGTGGAATTATGGCTGGAAAAAAAGCTCTAAATGATCTCCATTATGAATTAGGAATACAAGGTTTTGATCAAGTCTTTGTTGACCAAGTGGATTCTGATATTGTTTGTGTAACTCGACAAAATAGTAAAACCCATGAAACAGTTGTGTTGATGTCCTATACAGCTTTTACTAAAAATCAGAGCTCACCATATTTACCATTACATAAAAATGGTTTAGGTAAAGGAATCACGGTAGATGGACAAGTCAACAAAATACTTATAGAAGCTATTTTACAAAAAAAGTAATTTTTAAAAAGAGTTCATCAATAATCTTCTTAATTAATTAATTATTTTTTAGTGAAGAAAATAATGAAGAATTCACAAAAGATTCAAATAAAATAAATGGTCTTACAGATTTTAATTTAAAAATTAAGCAAAATATTAGTGCAAAAGATTGTACTATGTTAAATATTGTATCTACTAATGAAAGATCAATACGTTTTAATTTTACTGAAAATTTTAAGCCAGGATCTATTGTTGTAGTTAGTATTGAACCTCATCAAAAAACAAAAACTGCAGTCAAACAATTATTATCTAATATTGATTTGGTACAAGCTGTTAGTCGATTAACATTAATAGACATGAACTATGTGTTGTTCAGATGTGCTGAAGAAGATGATGGAAATATTTATAACGTTCCACAATTTGGAAATCTTGTATACTGTGGTATACAAGGACTGATATCTATTTTTGATGAAGTGGCTCCAAACATTGATCTTGGCCATCCATTATGTACTAATTTACGAAATGGGTGTTGGTTAGTTGATTATGTATCCAAACGTTTAAAGAAAAAAGAGTTTGAAAATACTCCTCTATATCAATTTGGAGATTTTTTGGAAATATTTTTACAACCAATTAAAAATTTACCATCTTATTTGGTACCTTGTTATTTTGAATTAGTCATAAGAAAAGTTTATAATGCATTACTTTATCATACATGGTCTTTGATGCATAGTGATATTAAAAATGGATCTTTGTTTTGTAAGAGTTTAGCTCTTGCTTCAATTCAATTTGTTGGAATAGTAAATTCTAGTCCTCTTCCATCACTTTCACCAAATCTCTTAGCTCCAATGCTTAAAATTTGTGTGGGGCAAGATGGAAAAGTGCGACCTTATTGTGTTTCTATTTCTGCTGGATTACCACATTTTTCCACTGGCTATATGAGAAATTGGGGCCGGGATACTTTTATTTCAATTAGAGGGTTATTATTGCTAGTTGGGCGATATGATGAAGTTAAGTGAGTTTCTTTGATTTTTCTATAATATTTGAACTTGGTTTTTAACTTATCTATTTATCTAGGTTTATTATCTTGGCATTTGGTGGTTGTTTAAGACATGGTCTTATTCCAAATCTTTTAGATGGAGGAAATAACCCCAGATATAATTGTCGTGATGCTGTTTGGTGGTGGTTATATAGTATTAAGCAGTATGTTCAAACTGTTCCTGGGGGAATAAGTATCTTGAATGATCCAGTAAATAGAATTTTTCCTACTGATGACTCAGAACCAACTTCAATTGTATGATATCAACTTAATCATAATATGTGTTTAAAGATAATAAATTACAATTTTTTTATAGGAACAACCTTTATATGATGTGATACAAGAAGTAATGTCTATACATTTCCAAGGACTGTGTTTTCGTGAACGTAATGCTGGTATTACTATTGATGCTCATATGAAAAGTCAAGGTTTCGATAACCAAATAGGAGTACATCCTTTAACTGGATTTATTTTTGGTGGTAATGAATGGAATTGTGGTACATGGATGGATAAAATGGGTTCATCAGATAAAGCAGGAAATAGAGGTCACCCTGCAACACCACGTGATGGGTCAGCTATAGAGTTGGTTGCTTTATCTAAAGCAATTGTTGGTTGGCTAACTGAATTGAATAAATCTAATAAATTTAAATACTCTGGAGTTACACGTACAAATAAAGATGGTATAATTGATTAATAAAATATGTTTTTAAAATTTTTGAAAGTTTTATGTTATTAAAGGATCAGAAACTTTCTGGACTTATGAAGAATGGAATTCAAAAATTCAAACAAATTTTGAAGCACATTTTTGGATACCCATAGAAAAAATAAATAGTACACAAGTAGAACCCCATCCAGAACTTATTAATCGTAGAGGAATTTATAAGGACACTGTAGGGGCTTCAAATAAATGGGGTGATTATCAATTGCGCTGTAATTATCCAGTTGCAATGGTTGTCGTAAGTTATTACTTAAATTTTAAAATTAAACACTTAGGTGGGTAAACCGAATTAAGACAATTCGGTATGAAGTGCGCACAATGGACCAACAGGTCTGAATGCATGGGCATTATGTCCATCTCGATAATAACTAAAACTAAAACTAAAACTATTACTTAAATTTATTACATTAGAAATATTGAATAAATCAATTTAACTTATAAATTGTTTTAATACTTTTAACAGTTAACAAAAAAAAAAAAAAGTTAACTGAATGTTAACTAATGTAGTTCAATAAAATATTGAATTACTTTTTTTCTAGGCACCAGAATTATTTTTTCCTGAACATGCTAGAATAGCTATACAGATTGCTTCTGATGTTCTTCTTGGTCCATTAGGCATTAAAACATTGGATCCAACTGACTGGGCTTATGATGGTTTTTATAATAATGATAATGATTCAGCAGATTCTAAAGTAGCTAATGGCTATAATTATCATCAAGGACCGGTAATAAATATTTAAATTTGATGCATTTGTATTCTTCAAATCTAAAGTGTGTGATACCTAAGGCTTTTACCATAATAATTTTAATTTAATTCAGTATTATTAATGTCGATAAGCTTAAATGTTAAAGGTTAATTTCATTTAACCTTTAACATTTTTAATAATAATAAATTAAATATTAATTAATCAAATAATAATAATTATAATATTTTATAAAACGAATTTAAGTGCATAAATGAATGCATTTTCAATTCAAACAAAAAAATTAAATCCTCGGCCATATCTATAACCTTTAAAATAATATTTTATTCATAATACTATTATGTTATAGTGTAGAGATAAATTGAATAATAATATTGAATTTTCTAATTAATAGGTCTACTTAAAATTTTTTTAATGAAAAAACAAAAAATGTCTTTTTAGGAATGGATATGGCCTGTTGGGTTTCTCTTAAGAGCTAAGCTTATATTTGCAATAAAAAAACAAGTAGCTGTATCAGAAGTTCTAAGTATTTTGGCAAAACATTATGAACATATTCGAACCTCTTCATGGAGAGGTCTACCTGAATTAACTAATAAAGATGGAGCTTTTTGTTCAGGATCTTGTCCAACGCAAGCGTGGAGTGTAGCTACTATTCTAGAGGTAAACTATGTTTTATTTTGAATTATTTTAAATAAAATACTCATTAAAATAACCTAATAATTATTATTTTATATTATATAATTATATAATTTAAATATTCAATCATTTTCCTGTGATACAAATTTTATTTATATGTTGTTATTAAGACATGTACATATACTTAAAAAAGCTTTAAATTCTATTTTTTCAGGCTCTGACTGCAGTTACCAATGTAAACTAGACTTGATATTAAATGTTTTTTTTTAATTAGAGCAATAAAATATTTTTATAAGTTAACATATTTAAGTATTTAATTTTTTTTACCAATGTTAATTGTATAAAGTTAGAGACTATTTTTAATCATTTCAATTGTATAAAATATTTATTGTTAAAAAAAAAATTGATTTTATTTTATCAGAATTTTAATATACCATATTTATGAAATTACTTCAATATTATTTAATTTTTATAAACAATTTTTGTATAAATTTACTAGTTGATTTATTTTTAATTAAATTTAGCTGAAATTATATATTGTAATTAAGTTTCTGTTAATATAAATTCATTTATTTGGTTGTTGAAGGTTTCTTTCTTTCAATTAGGCTTTTTAATAAAACAAAATATAAAATAATATCATATTCATTTTAGACTTTTTGTTGTTATTCATTTTTTTTCCGCCAATATTACACAGGGAAGTAATTATTAATTTAAGTTAAAAAATTAATTTTTACGTATTTATACACTGATTACTTGTTAAATATATTATATTAAAATTTTTTAATATAATACAAATAATATTTGGATAATCATATCTATTTTAGAGGTCTGTTTATCATATTATAATATTGGATATAATGATTTAAAAAATGAAAAATAAGTTTATTAAATTTTTTCTTGATTGTGTATGGGTTTTTATTAAAGAAAATTTTTAATACTCTATTATTAAAAAACTAGTAAAATATCTTTTGTTCAATATTAATTTTTAATCATAATAATTTAAGAGTACAGAGGAAAAACGGTAGTAGAACTACATTTCAGTAAATATTTCAAGATAACAAAAACAAAGTTATAAGTTCCTGTCTTTAAATTATTAATAACTTATAGACAATTTAATATTAGCAAAATGAAGACATTTTATTTAGAAATTTAACCATAAAAAAATAAAATTAACATAACTTAAAAATAAAGAAACTTATGAAATGTATTGGAAGTTATATTAATTTTCAGAAAGTATAATTTTGAAATTGTATAAATGTAGACGTATTACTTAAAAACATAGATATAACATTGTCTTTGGTTAAAAATTAATATTAATGATGATATCGTGATACTATGTTACAAAATAGCACAATTTTCTTTCTTTTTATACAATCTTTGTATTATGACCTTGGTTGATATTTTTTGAACATATGTTTAAAAAACTTGTGTTTACATTAAAAATTATCAAAATGCCAACAGTAGTGATAACATCAATTCTTTAAGGCAGGAACAGAACTGAAATAAAAACATTTTCATATCTAGATAAATTATGTTTATAAAGCATATTTTTACTATATTTTGAAATAGCTGTTTACATGATCTATGTAACTCATGATTTTAAACGAAAAAATATATATAACTATTAAGAAACTATTAAGTTAAAAAATGGTTTAATGATGATGAACCAGCGAGAATATGACGTCGATGATAATTTACCAAGCGCTTTAGAAGATGAGGAAGACGTATTAAAAGATTTGTTAAATGTGCCTACTGGTTGGTCAGTCGGTAATTGCCTTCAAACAGGTCTTTTCAATTCTTTTGAGCCTGATGAAGTGGTATATCGTGCTCAAAAAAAACCATGTAAAATGGTTGGTAAATATGTTATGGGAGATTTGCTTGGGGAAGGTAGTTATGGAAAGGTTAAAGAAGTGCTAGATTCTGTTACTTTAGTACGTCGAGCAGCAAAAATATTAAAAAAGAAGAAGCTCAAACGAATACCGAATGGAGAGAAAAATGTTCTCAAGTAATAACATAATTATTATTGCCAAAGAATAATTAAAAAATACATATGTTTAACATAGTATATTAATTAAGTTTAAGCTATAAAATATTATTTTATAATTTGCTAATTCAATTTTAAGTATTTCAATTTATCTTTAAAAATATTAAGCTCTAAAATAAAAATATTATTCATTTTGATTTAATTTAATTATATAAATATATAATATTTTATAGGATTTTTATACATTTTTTATAGTGAAATACAACTCTTAAAAACACTTAGACATCTAAATGTCATAGAATTAGTCGATGTAATAATAAATGAAGAAAAAGAAAAAATGTACCTATTAATGGAGTACTGTGTTGGTGGTCTTCAAGATATGCTTGAACACTCTCCAGGAAGTAAATTTCCTTGTTGGCAAGCTCATAAGTAATTATAACACTTTTTATTATTAGCTTAATTAGGATATAAACCATACAAATATTTATTACATTATTTTGTATTAGTTGTTTGAAAATATTTTATTACTAGTCTATTTGTAGTAGCTTAAATAAGATTATTTTAAGTAATAAAAAGAGATTATAGAGGCAAATAAAATTCTAATTAAATATTAGGCATATAGTTTTTTTAAGATTAATTTACTAATAATTAAAAAAATTTAACTATTGATTTGCAAGAAAAAAAAATTAAAACTTTAATAAAAACTTAAAGCTTATTTGTTTATTTTGATAAAAATTCTTAATTTATTATACTATGGGATAAATGACTCTTGCTTAAAAGTACTGTTGGCTTACTAATTTAGAGACACTAAAATTATTGATATATCAACTTATTACCTATTAGAAAAAATAGTGACACCTTAAAATTTTATATTTTTCTGGTTTTTGTATCAAATGAATAAAAAAACCTAAAGTTTTATTTATTTTAGCTAAATATTTATTACTAGAGAGTCTTGTGAAAAACAGATTAGTAATAAATTAGTATAAATTTCTCTTTATCTTGATTCTATTATAAAAGTTTATTTTTTTCAACATCATAACTCTCACTATCAACATTTTGTTATTTATAAAATTAATTATTTTATAAATTTCATTGTTTAAAAATGTTTATTTCTTGAGATTGTGTAGTTATTCAAATAATTAGAATAATATATCATCATGTTATTAATTATTTTGGTGTTTATTAGTTATTTCAGTCAATTAATAAATGGATTAGAATATTTACATAGTCGAGGCATAATTCACAAAGATATTAAACCTGGAAATTTATTACTCACATTAGATGAAACATTAAAGATATCAGATTTTGGAACAGCGGAGGTTTGATTTTTAATAGTTTTTTAGTTTTAAGGATTTTAAGTTTACTTTTAATAATTATGTAATTTTTTAAATATATAATACAGAGTAAAAAAAAATTTATTTCACTAATGTTCATTTAATGAACATTAAAGTTTTCAAGGGCTTGTTTTCTTAACTATTTATCTTAGTATTCATTTTTTTTTTTATTTTTGACTATATTGATTACAATTTTTGCAATATAAGGTGATTTGTTTATCATAAACTACTTTATTATTTGCAAAAATTAATACAATATTAAAAAAATATATTTGTTTTTTTAGTAACATATATTTCTTAATTTGTTATTTATCGATTACTTTTTAGCTTATTCCTTATAATTTATAGGCATGTCAACTTTATTTTTTTTAACACCAACAAATATATTTAATTAACTTAAAAATAAAAAAAATAATAAAATATAAAATCAAAGAAATGGTTGATAACAATTTCATGTAATTCAGAAGTTATAACAATTTTAAAATGTAGAGTAGAAGAAAGATGTAAGAATAGCTATTTCTATCATTAAACATGTTTTATTGCACTTCTTTTACCTTGAACTAAAAATATTTATAACTTTTGAAGTATATAGTTATTATCACAATGTATCAAATTGAAAGTGATAGTTTGGATCTATACAGTGATCATATATTTTAATATGTTTACATTTTGTAGTGGAAGTGTTAAAACATATAATCGTATGAAAAAGCTATAATTAGTAATGTTAGATGACATAAGTGATCATTATTAAAAAGACATTTATAATTATAATAAAATTATAATAATTTGTAACCTTTTTAAGGAAATAGCTTCAAAAATTAAACTAGTAATAAATAAAATCTTTTTTATTGAAGTAAGTCATATACAAATAAAAAATAAATTGTTACAGAGTTATAGTTCTTTACCACAATTCTCATTTTGTGGTGACATCTTATACAAATTGAGAACATTAAAAAATTTATCTTATAATATCGACGGTGTTTTGTAGAAAGGGCGTAACCCACAATTTTGAAATTCGGGCGTTACGCCCTTTCTACAAAACACCGCCAATATGATCTACCTAAGAAAATGACAGTTTAGTAACAATTTTTGAACTGTATTTAGAAAATTAATAATTATTTAATATAAAGATGGAAGATAATGTGTAGGTATATTTATTTTTATTTCTAAGCATTAATGAACTGTGATACTTCTCCTGCCTTGTATTGAAATGTTAACATCTTTTAAAATACTAGTACAAAAGTTATTATCAGGAATTTTCCTAGATAGATGATTTTCTATTTAGTAAGTTGATTTAGCATACATAATTTTATTAAAAAACTAAATCTGATAAAGTATTAAGGGCTAAGAGTGAGGGTAGGAAGACTTGTTTGAAAATTATACAATGTAGTAGGATATTTTATACTTCCAAAAAATAATATTATATTTATAAAGATATTGCGTGATTCATAGTTAAACAATCATCTTATGTATATAATGTTTCTCACAATGTTCTGACAAATCAACATATTTTTTTATTGCAAATTATCAGAACATTGTAGGACAAATTTAGGTAAAAATATTCCGATCCAAAATATACTGAACAGTAATATAAAAGTACAAAATATGTGCAATGTATTAAAAATAAAAATAATCAATAAATAGTAAAAGTACTTTAAAAATTAAATTAAATTAAATTAAAATATACATTAAAAATTTCTTAAAGAAATTGACCCTGCTTTTAAAAAAATGATCATTATCTTCCTTTCTAGAGTTGTAAAAAAAGTTGTAATGTACAATGTTTATCTGAATTATATTAGTTATCAGTTAGCTCTGGAAGAAACAGGTGTTATTTTTCATTAATTTATACATAATTTTTTTTTTCAATTTTCGTCATAAATAATGAAATAAATATTATTATTTCAAAAAAAAATTTTAAATAAAGCTATCATTGAAATTGCTAAAAATATCATAGATCAACATATAACTGCATAAGGTTGCTTTTATTACCTTTATCAATCAACATATGCTCATTTACAAGCATAAAAACTTAAAAAACATTCCCATGAAAATCAATTTTGTGTTATGTTAGACACTCTTGCATTTTAACAGTGAATGATATTCAAGGTGAAATTACATATTTGAAAAGTGTTATGTTAGAAGAAGTTATTGATCTAATTAATTTATTTATTGCTACATACAAGGAAGGTAAACAAATTTAAGAAGTAACATTAGAAATTCAAAAAAAAAGTTTTATAGGCTTTTTTTTTTATTAGTCTTCAATACAGCAGTATTATTATATCTAAACGATTAAAATAAAACTATACAATAGGACTAAGACTATACAAAAAAAAATATTGTTATTAAACACATTGTTTAAATTGTTTAATTAAACATATTGTTAAATTAATAAATTAAACCTACTAAAAAAGAAAGAACAAAACAAAATAGAACTAGGATATTAAATTAACATACAGACAAATATTATATAACGAAGCCAGCTGAATGAACGAAGGAGATTATTTGTATAAGTTTTATAGGCTTTATTTCCTTTTTTAATATGGAATGTCCACAACACTAATTATAACTTCAATAATCTAGTGTGTCAAAAATACCTTTCTGTATGGGTTTTAATTGAAAAAATTATGTTAGAAGTTGGAGTAAATGAACTTAATATTGCCTAATAAGAATTGGTCAACTACTTGAAAAAAAAAATTATCAAGAAATGCAAGTTAAACTGAATAATTTATAGATTGAACACAATTCTGTTAAATTTTTTAACATTTTCAATCAATTTTATAATTGATAAATTTTTAAAAGTAGTATCAATTTCTTTAAGAAATTTTTAATATATATTTTAATTTTATTGAGTTTTAATGTACTTTTACTATTTATTGTTTATTTTGATTTTTAATATATTGTGGATATTTTGTACTTTTATATTTTTGTTTTAGATATTTTAGGTTTTAGATTTTTTTAATAGATACCTCGTGGGACACTATATAATGTTTATTTTAATATTAGGAAATATATAAAGATATTTACATCATAATTATTAATATAAAAATAATTTTTGATTTCAGGCATTGTCTCCATTTGATCCAGAAGGAATTTGTGCATCTAGTCAAGGTTCACCAGCATTTCAACCCCCAGAAATTGCAAATGGAGCTGATGTGTATTGTGGTTTTAAAATAGATATTTGGAGTAGTGGTGTGACATTGTACGTTTAAATATGTTATAAATAGAGCTTAAAAAATTTATTTGTTATAGTTTTTGTAATAAAAATTTTGTTTTTGGAATTTAATATGGAGTAAACTTGCATTTAGGTATAATCTAGTTACTGGACAGTATCCATTTGAAGGGGACAATGTTTATAGACTATTTGAAGCAATTGGCAAATGTAATATAAAAATTCCAGGTTATGTCACTGAACCTCTAAGATCTCTCTTAGTTGGAATGTTAAAAAAAGATCCAAAGAATCGATTTTCATTGCGAACAATTCAAACACATCCGTAAGTATCTTATTTTATGATATTCATTGTTGAATAGTGATCATATATTATTAGATATAATATCTTAAATTAATTATTTTATCAAGTTGGGTTGTGTGTAGACATCCAAAAACCTCTGAAAAAGTACCTATTCCACCACTACGTGGTGATTATATGCATAAAATGACAGTTTTACCATATTTATTTAACTTTCATGAAGATACATCTTCAGAAAATGAGGAAGAAGAATATATAACTGAAAAATTGATAACAGGTGAATACATTTTTTGATATTGACTTTATTTTTGTTTTTATCATAAATTTTTTTTAATTACTAACACACTAATAAATAACCTATTATTTATTTGACAGTTAATACAGATAGACAGAATGGTAGTACATCAGCTCCTGTAGATGAAATTAATGACTCATCTAAACGTGCCTGGCACAAGCCTATCTTATATAATGTTAAAAAAATGACAACATGTCGACTCTCGTGACACTATTCCTTTATCCTTGTGTTGCAATTTTCATATTGTTTTATAATAAAACTAGTTTTGATACAAAAATTTGAAAATATTCAAATATGTTGAGAAAACGGTTATTTTCTTTTGTACTATCAAGTCAGACTTTTAATTTGACTTATTTATAAATAAAACGACTTAAAAAATGCCAGTAGTATTATAAATATCAAAACTAAAATTTTATTTATTAACCTCAGCAAAAGAGTCAATTGTATTTTTTGAGAATAATAAATGCTGATGTCAAAAAAATATGTAAAAATAAAAACGCTATGCTGACCTTATATACTTTATTTATTCATTATTTACTTTTATAAATATATGAAAATTGTATAATTTTATATTGTTTTCTCTTTACAAGTTTTATTTTTAGTAATATTTTTTTATATGTATAAGACTAAAACGAATTATTTTAAAGTACATTTGAGTTCCTCGGTTTTATAAAATTGAAATAAATTAAAAAAAGTATAGAAATTTTAAAATAATTTAAAATTCTATTGAAAGATAATTTTACTGAATTGCTTATAAATTAATCATTTATGTATAGTCAGTATATTTGTATAAAATATGTATTGGCTAATAAGTTTACCAAATATTAAAAGAAGTATCAATCCGTAGTAATTAATAATTTTTGTTTTTTTTTCTTACATAAAATTTTATTTATATATCTAACATTTATCTTTATTTTTTTAGTTAAAATGTTTATTGTTATAAATTGATATTTTCTTATTTATCAGTAAAAAATTTGTACTTTGTTATATTTTAAATAAAAGTGTTCAAATTAGAAGTTTTTAGAAATATTTAATACAGTACACTTTTATAAAACCAACAAAATGTATCAGATATTTATTAATATATCTGTGCAAATTTTATAACCGATTTGTAAATCCTTCTCTGTTTTAAAATTTAACATAGCAGTTCTATGACCAAAAATATTATAAATAAAAAAAATTACAAAAATAATTTTTTACTATCAACTTCTGTATAATTGTTTTATAAACCATACATGTATTTATGTGAAAAAATGAATATAATATATTTCATTGTGTTGTTTAGATATCTTGTTTTTAAATTGGAAACTCCTTTTTCTTAAATTTAAATTTACTATCAAATTGAGTATGCTACATTATATTGCGAAAAAATTAGAATGTGAATTTCTTATTTATTGAAGTCTTTGCATTCCCATTTTGTGTTAATGTATAGGAGTACATTTTTTCATTTAATACTCCCGTCTAGTATCTATAAATCAATTATTATTTTTTCGTATTATAATGCTTGGGTAGTTTGTATAATGCAAAGATAAAAAATAAGATTGTATATAACTTTTATATAACAATAAGTTTTACATAAAATATGGGGTTTTAAACCTTGAAATTTGTTAAAAGTCGTTTATTAAAAAAACATTTTTATTGGAAAAATAATGTACCGATTACTATTGCTTTATTTGCTATGAAATTCTTATGATATAAAAAAAAATCAGTGTTGTCATTTTTGTTATAGCTATTGATAATTAAAGAAAAACAAAATATTCACAAGGTTTTGTAATTCATCATCATTTTACTTGACTTATTTTTACAGTATATTTGAACTTATTACAGTTTTATCTGGTGTGATAATTGTATTTACCATTTGATTAAGAATAATTCTTTAACAATTTTAACCTGTGCTACAGTGTGTTTACCCGATTTTATTTAATTGAAATAATAGTTATCTAAGTGGTTAAAAAAGAAAAAGCTTTGGAATTTGAAATTTTTTTGGGTACTAAACCCAATTAAAAAAAGTTCACATTAATCATTATTTAATTTTATTATTGAAAAATTAATAGACAATATTTTTATGTTAGTGTTGAAATAGATTATTTATTAAAATTATATAAAAGTTAGTGTTACATAAAATAATATAGATAATAAATATAATTTATAATTTATATATAAATAATGTATAATACTTTATATTTTGTACAAATTATGCTCAAAACATTAATTTTCATATGATTTTTTGTTGGTTATTTAAAGTTCGGCATGAGAAGTAACAGAGTCAGGTGAGACAGCTATAGGAAAATCACTCAATGGCAAACTTCTCCAAAACGCACTGTTTCCTAAATTTGGTAATTCCATAGGTTCAAACGTTTGATTTTGTGTGATTTTGACTAATTTCAATGGATCTGCTGGATTTTTGGATACAGGAAGCCAAGACGTAGTGTTATTTATATTTGGATTGCTATTAACAAAAAACAAATCTGCATTAGATATAAAGATTAACAGTTTTTCATTTGAAGTATTTATTAATAAGAAACCATAAAAAAATATTAATTTTCAAGAGTAAACTTTTTGTTTATTAATTATATTACAAGAAATTGAGTTAAATAAATATTGTACAATCACCTAACTAGTAGTGAGGGGATAAGGTGGAATGTATATATTTCCTATTTTTCATCCCTCCGTTTATTTTATCCAAAATAATACACCCCCTTTAATAATGTTCAATGTACACTAAGTTTATAGATTTGTGTTGACTATTTAATTTTTGTGAATCGTTTTTTTTTTAGAAATTTTTTTATTTTCAAATTTTAATTGTTGCTGTTATTTATATTATTACTTATTTAGTTTTTAAAATTAATTATGTAAAATATTTATTATGATTTTGTTATAATTATTTTTTGATAAATCGGTCTAAATAACTTCTTCGTCGTTTAATTAAGTACAAATAACTGGAATAGTATAATTAAATAATATCTCTCTGTCTAAAAAAAAAAAAAACAAACCCAGTTTTTATAAATGATGACCAAACATTAACCATGATTGGAATTAGTTTGGCGTCTTCTATGACTTCATGTGGTCTACCATATTTTGTCTGAATAATATACATAGTATCATCACCATGAGCTACTCCTACATAATTACAAACTCATTAAAATTAATACGAAATAGATTAACTAAGTGTACTATGAACATTTTATATTTCTTATCACAAACCTAATCCTTGAGATGTGCCAGATTTTGTGTACTTGTTTGAAAGACTGTCTCGGCCTCGATATGCAAACTCATAAAAATAAACTGGAGAAGTATTTTTCGAAGCTAAATGTTTAGAAAATCTTACCACAGGTTCTTTGAACATTCTATCACTTAACATCTAAACAGACAATTTTATTAGCATCATCATAAAAATGTAAACATTGAGTATAATTTTGTTTAAACAATATTAAAATATAAACGAAAAACATTTCCAAAATAAATAATGCGACAATATTGCTTGAGGATTGTATTAATACTAATGTCAAAGTATTAAAATTTAAAAAACTGCCACTTTAATTAAAAATAGTCGGAAATCATTAAAATACTCTATTAGATTTTTTGTTTTCTATTGAATATTACAAAGTTTAGATATTCACTTGAACAATTTGATCTTTAGTTGCTGCTGAAATAGTATTGTTTCCAAAATAAAAACTTTTAACTGTTTGTGCGATTTCTTGTCTTCTAGTTTCATCAGCGATAGTATAATTATAATCAAGGAGAAAAGGTGCAATTTCACTCCATTTAGTTTCCATTTCAACTAGGACTTCATCGTATGTTATTAGTTCAGCTGCTGGGTACAATCCATCTTCTTGAGTAACACTAAATATTGCTGGCACATCCTGAATGGGAAGATTTTCAGGTTTATCTGGTAAAAAACGATCGGCACCAGTTGGCTCTACCGAAGGACCAAAAACCGTAAATGGGTTGAATCTCCATGGCTGAAAAATAAATATTAAAATAGTATAATTAGTCCTCTAATGAAATTAAGGGAAAGTGTCATATATTTTTCTGAATTTAGATTATGAAAAATTAATTTGAATTTATTAGAAATTTGATAAAAAAAATATCAATGTATATAAATTGATTGTGTTAGGTTCATCTCACAATTATCTTAAAACAATATAATAAAATAATATACTTAGAAGTTTAGACTTAGTTGAACATTTACAATTTTTTCAAAAAATAATGTTACTGTTTTAATTTATATTACTTTAATTTATTAAATTAATATATTAATTTATATTACCATGAAATTTTTTACAGATTCTGCAATAGCCACTGCTGGTCTAGAACGAAGGCATTTGATAGTGTCTTTTGAATAATACGTTGGACATCCCAAGAATTCAGCTAACTGTTTTGTTTTTTCTACAATATTTTCACTATATGCCCAGTGGCAATGAGCACTTCCACTCATACCAATTGCTTTATTAAATAGGCCTATGGAAAATAACAATAATATAGTAAAAAGAAATATCTAATTCTATTTTATTAGAAATATAAAAATGTAGAGGTTTTAATCTAAATAAAAAGATTCCAAAACTATATTTAGCAATTTATCATAAAAGAAGAACGTATACTATGACTCCTGACGAATAAAAAATATTTAGGAACTTTTTTGCAACTTTGAAACTAATAAAAAATGTATAAATCATTTTTTCTTACAGATACTAAATATTTAAGTTTTGAAGTGGTCGTTAAAATAACCTAACATTATTATTTGTGGGGTTTAACTTCAACATTGATCGGTCATATAATTTAAATCATAAGAATCTCAGTGTTATAACTAATAAGTATTGATAAGAATTAATAAACGTAATATCGACTTAGTGGTAGACATTGTTCAGTTATTATATATTCTCTGAAATGTTTGTAAGAAAAGTTAATAATTATTCAAATCAATTTTTTATTATAACTACTTATAGCTGAGCTTACCCATAGACATTGGCGACACCATATGATAATTGACACTTGCTGCGCCAGCTGACATTCCAGCAATAGTGACTGATCCTGGATTACCCCCAAAGGACACTATATTTCGTTGAATCCATTTCAATGCGGCTACTTGATCTTTAAGACCATTGTTACCAGGTAATATGTCGTCTCCTGATGAGGCAAATCCAAATGGACCCAAACGGTAATTTATAAAGACGAGTACCATGTCTTCAGAGTCCAGAAAATATTCTGGACCGTACTGTGATCCAGATCCAAATTGAAACGCTCCTCCGTGAATATAAACAACCACATCCATAAGACCTCCATTTAAAAGACCGTTTTGAGGTAACTGTGATAATTATTTATTAATAGTATGAAAGAAAATCATAATATTTACGCCTATCACAGAATCAAGAAAAAAAGTTCTATTTAAAAGTATAAGCGAACAATTATTAACATATATTATAATAAAGTTAAAAAACTATAGTTTTAAATTACTAGAAAAAAGAATAAAAAATTTAAATACAATTGTTTTGATACTTCAAAAATAAAAATAAGAACGACCGGCCTTTAAGACGTCTTTTTTTTATTACGCAATTGTCTTTTATTATTTTTTATAAATTCAAAATTATTTTTAATTTACGTTAACTACTACGAGTAAAAATCTTACTTTAGGTGTGTATACATTAAGATAAAGACAATCTTCTTGACCAATTACAGATATTTGATCTTTATGTAATAATCCTATACAATCGCTACCAGGGATCGTTGCATTCCATACACCTACCCAAGGTTTTACTGGTTGAGGTTCCTAAAAAAAGTTACCAACAACAGAATAATTTCATTGTTAAAAATACATTATTAGATGTAAATTTATTACAGTTATATAAATTTTTTTTATAAGAAGCACAATGGTTTGTTTATTTAGAATGAAATACTACTACGCGTATCTACAATCCTAAGTAATGATTAAATCAACTCTGGTAAAGAAACATGTATGTTTAGTTCATATATAAAGAAGAAATTGCAAGTTATTTTTGGCTTAATAAAAAAATCCTCCTTGAAGTGAAATCCTGGTTATATATATATGTTTAAACATATGCATGCACACATTATAATAAAATTATATATTGTTGGAAACAAATGACTTAATGAATTAAATTTAATATGTATAGATTGTAAAATTTACAATGTAAATATTAAATTTTATTTTTCAGGGACTGGAACGCACCTANAAAATCCTCCTTGAAGTGAAATCCTGGTTATATATATATGTTTAAACATATGCATGCACACATTATAATAAAATTATATATTGATGGAAACAAATGACTTAATGCATTAAATTTAATATGTATAGATTGTAAAATTTACAATGTAAATATTAAACTTTATTTTTCAGGGACTGGAACGCACCTAAAAAAACATTTCTTTAGCGATACCTTTTTTAAAACTCGAACCGGAATAGGAATTTTTATTTACACAAACCGGAAACTTTAATAATAAAGGTTCGTTAAAACGGTTCTTAACTGTCAAGCAGTATTTTAGTTGTATGATTTTTAAGAAAGTTTTATATTTTTAAAAAACAAATGATAATTATTTTGGTATGCATTAGTAAAAGCTTTATTATAGTTTGTCAAAGCATAATTTAACTAATCTAGAGTTCCAAAAAACTTTTTTTGTTCACAAAATATATATTTAAAACATAATTAACATAATTATCGGCTGTTTGTTAACTATAGGGCTCTAAATTATTATTTAATCATTTGAGTCCTATAGCCATAAATAGAAGTTATAACAATATTTACATTTGAATCCTATATCAATTTTCTGAGACTTTTAATTGGACTTTAATTTTAATAATTTGGATGGAACTTTTATTTTAAAGAACCCGAACCTAAATTATTTATAATGAAAGAACCTGAACCGGAATGGTACGTTTAAATATTTTCTTAAAGAACCCAAACCCGAACATAAAAAACAGTTCTAGTCCCTGGTACAAATTTAAAAAGAACACACGTCAAAAATATTGGACTTTAAAATATTTATATAATAGTATCTTAACAATGGACTTCGAGTAAACTCCACGAGGTTGCGCCACAATAAGACACAAATATTGAGAAAAATAAAAGAAAACATGTCTTGAAAATTAACAATTTTAAAGGACTGAGTAATCGTTGATAGATGATCATTATATTAAATTAAACAAGGTAAAATTATCTTCATGTTTACGTGGATGATTTTTGTATATAGATAAGAGTGTTTGCAAAACGAACATTTTATCATTTTTTAAAGACCTATAACTTTTTAAGAAATATATTTATCAAAAATCGCCTTATGTATATATAAATATTAAATACATGTTTTATTTTATGTATTGATCATCTCTCTACAATTACTCAGTCCTTCAGAATCGTTCTTCTCATGTTTTAATGCGTAAAAAAATTGGCATCCTCTTAATTTGACTATAGCGCCCCTAGGTTACAAAAAGTAATTTCTTTTGATAGAAATTGTGTTATCAATCACAATATCACAAAGTCCATAAGTTATCAATATAATTTTAAAATGTAAAATAAAAATAAGTTGTATCAAAATACCTTAAACCGGTGTTTGTGTACAGGTGGACTGGCATAGGGTATTCCAACAAAAGAGTACACTTGCCGACCATTAATAGTTTTTACGAAACCTCCAGCCAATTCTCCAGATTCCACTCGTACTCTAGGAGTTGTCGTTAAATTTTGAGCTTGCGCCAAGGCAAAGAAAAAAACTACCGACCATTTTATGGTAGTAGTCCACATGTTGCACACACTACAAGTAGTACAATTGTAAAACAAAAAATGTTGGACAATACTCACCTAAAGAATGAATGTATAATGAAGATGTAAATTATGTTGAGAAGTTGTTTAACAGATGAATATTGTTACGTATGACCGGTCTTATCTCTAACCAAATGTTTAAATTATCATGGTCTATAGATTTGATACGTTTCCCGCACTCTAATTAAACACTGTATTGTCATTTGTGCGGTAAACAGACTACCCTACCATAAAGTTGTTAAATAAGAAAATTTTAAATATATCTCTGATGTATTTAACGATAGCACATAGATTAAGTAATACTTGGAAAATAGTACATTAGATATTGAATTAATTGTGATGTAGGTAAATATTAGTCGTCAACTGTTGTGTGATTAAGATAATACGGTTATTTACTATTTAACACGCCAACATATAATTATGCAGTAAAATTGTCTTATGTAACATAATTAATTAAATGACTAATTTTTAATAGCTTTTTAAATACTTGTCACTCTAAACCTGCGTGACAATGCCGTTATGCGCTCTAACGGTGAATACAACTACTTTCCACACAGATCATTAAATGATCTTAATTATTTGTTAATTAATTTGTTATTTATATTATAATAATAATTTATAAATAGTTTTTTATTGTAATTATATGATTTTGTTATTATTTTTCTTTATTACTAATTAATTGAAGAATTGTTTATTATTAAATCATTGTAATGATTTAATAATAAATTCATAAGACACATATGTCTTATGAAATTATTGTAAATGTTATTATTAAAAAAGAAGTTAAAGCATGATATCCGATCAATTCATCTAGCTGGTTAATTTATCAAAGATACATTTGAACGAATTTTGTCAAGATTACAAAAATCGAAATGTTTTAGATTTTTTAAAAAGGGTAGCTCATATTTTTCAGTTGCAGCTCTAATTAAATTTTTTCGAAACAATATTTATTTGAGTTTTATTAAGTAACAATATTATTACTCTTGTATTTTATTATTATGACTAACACTGATGAAAATTTTTTTTATTATGAAAATTGCTTTAAATAGACGGTTATATATTTTTAAATTTGTGTATTTATTTCATAAATATAAACATTTATTTTTGGTAATTATTGAAGTTCACATAATAATATTAATTAAATCTAAAACTATTAAATTTCGTAGTGGTTAAATTGAGGGTGAACGGAATTCTTATTTGAAGTACAATTTAGCGTCCCCTTTAAGTTGTATACCAAAAATTTGGGGGGACGATTTAATTTTGAGCCTGAATAGAAAGCGTACTCGGTAGGTATTAATCTATTCTTTTATTGTGATAATGTTTTTTACTAAGTAAGTATATTTGTTTATTATGAATAATATCATTTTTAGCCTTTGATGGGAGATTTGGTGTGAATCATTTTTAGGAACTATAGCCCCCCTCGTAGTTTTTCCACTTTAACCACTGAAATTTCGGCAATGAATTCACTATTATCATTGAAGCATAAGACATTTTCAGTATAAACTTTTTCATTTTTGAAATCGGTATATTATAACATATTGTTATTCGTCTACAAAGCATATTTTTTTGTTTATTCGTTGTATTCTATTTACGTTAAATCCACAGATTAAGATATTTTGAAATAAAAATTTTATGATTTTGTCAATTAAAATTCAGTTGCACTTAAGTTCTTTCCCCTGATTAAAAACCAATTTCGTAAGCTGGCTATTAAAATTATAATATATATCTGACTATAATTCTTATAAGCCATAAATATAGATTGAATACAGACCCAATGGTTAGTAAGATTTTGAGTGTAATTAATACTTTTAGGCGTAGAGATTTACACTGCTGCTCACGAAAAGTAGGCAACTCATATTCATATATCAATGTATTTTAACAAAGTTAAAAGTTCGTGGAATTTTTTTTAAATTAATTTTTTATAAAAGGTTTTTAAGTGTACTATAGGATGGTACTAAAAAAAATGACCCTTGTTTGACCCTGCTACAAAACATTGATGAGTGTCTTACGTTTTTTTTTTAGTCAAGAAATTTATTAAAAATTATTTTTTATTAAAAGTGTCTCACAACCTTCATACATTTATACTGAGTTTACTCATGTTTTTTATTAATAAAATAAAACAAAATATTATTAAAAATGCACGCTACTTGTTTCTTTTTTTACTTAATTTTGTTAACTTTAGGACTCTACGTACTAGGAAACATCTACATAAATATTGTGTAGCTAATATATTACACATTACAAAATTTTGTTGTGCTATTTTCCCAACATTGTAGTTTATTATATTAAGTTAAATTTTTTGATCTTAACTAAAAAATAAAACACGAGTAATTTGATATGTCTAAGCGTTCATCTAATGACACTTAAATAAAATAATGTATAGAAACTGTCCCATAACATTGACTCCATTAATTATATATTAAAATAGAAATTCATGTTGTTGTTAGTCGTTTTAAATACATACGAATGTTGCAAAGTCAAGAGTCCTTTGACATAATTATGTTTCAATAAATGTATATTTGATAAAAACCAAAAGATTAAATCTTTAATAATATTTAATGTAATTTAGTTAATAATTTTTCGTTTTCCAGTTATATAAATCATATTATTTGTAATATAGAACTAATTATTGGAAAATACGTAAATCCAATTTTTTAGTATTTTTACAAGTTTGTATTATTATTATTACATTATATATTAAATGGGGGCATAAGGACAATCGAAAAAGTCGAACAAAAGTATGCAAATGCTTAGTCAATTATATATTACATTAGTGGTATTCGTTATTTAATGCATTACCATAATTATTCAAATTTTAGGTGTGTTTAATAACATTGGATAATGAATATTGATAAATATTGCTTTTTATTTATGATAAAACAACTACTGAGTTTGTAATATAAGAATTATTTTTTGTAAAATTAAATTACACTAGTAGCTCATACCATTAGTATCTGTTATGTAGAGGGGCTTAAAAGTAGTATTAGGAGTGAGTCATATAAAACTAACTGTCCTAAGTTATATACTGGCTATTATAAGACTTTGATAAGTACTCATTTAATTTTTTAAAAAATATTTTGTTGTTATTTTGTTAACATGTTGCTATCGCCTTTAATAACTATAGTATTAGTGTATATATATTATAATGCTTTGGCACTTGCAGAGGTGCTTATTGTCGAAATCGAAAGTGGGTTTATTTTAGGTAAAGTGAAATATACAAGGTTAGGGAGAACAGTGTTCGGTTTCGAAGGAATACCTTATGCCACTCCTCCAGTTGGACCCTTAAGATTTCAAGTGAGTACTTCATATTTTATGCTACATAGGTTTTAAATAATAAATATTTAGTTTATTTAATATTTTATATTGAAGTTATTGTAACTCTTATAATTTAGGAAGCTCAACCGGTAAAACCGTGGTTAGGAGTGTGGAATGCAACGGAACCAGGCAGTAAATGCATTCAGTATGATCATGGAACGTATGTGATCCAAGGCGAAGAAGACTGTTTGTATGTGAACGTTTACACGCCTAAAGTGAGTACTCGAGTAAATATTGTAGACATATTTTGATAACTTTGTATAAAAACATGACTTCATCCAATTACTATAGCTGCCCGGTAAAGACAATCCACAAAACAGATCACTCGATGTTTTAGTGTTTATTCATGGTGGTGCTTTTATGTTCCTCGAAGGTTCAGGCTATCAACCCGACTTCATTTTGGATAAAGACATAATACTTGTTACATTCAATTATAGATTAGGAGCTATAGGTAAAGTTTTCTTTATGCGACCATTTCTGAGTTTGACATTTATATATTAACCAGATGAATTGTTTTTTACAAATAAACAAAAAATAATATTAGATGTACAATAATATTGATGTCTAATAATATTAGATGTATAATAAGGATGTTGAATAAACAATTTATTTTAGTTTAAGCAATGCACTAACATACAAATTAAGTATACTTAATATCGTCCAACTAATGTTAAAAGGCAATTCGATTGTTCGTAGGTTTTTTCAGTACTGGAGATCATGTTGTGTCTGGAAATAATGGCCTTAAAGATCAAGTACAAGCCTTGAAATGGGTAAATAGAAATATAAGATATTTTGGAGGCGATCCGGATAAAGTTACAATCAGCGGGATGTCAGCAGGAGGTGCCAGCGTTAATTATCATATGTTGTCGCCAATGTCAAAAGGTTTTTTTATTTATTATTTATATTTAATGCAGATTAACTATTTAACATAACAGTTTATTTAGTGAATGCTGGTTATTATTTTTTTTTTGTTATAGGTTTATTCCAAAAAGTATTTTCACAAAGTGGAACTGCTCTTTGTCCTTGGACAGTTACTGAAAATGTTCCAGAAAAATCAGCAACGATTGGGGCTTATTTGGGTTGTCCAACCAATCTTTCAACAGATCTAGTTGCTTGTCTAAGCACTAGACCAGCAAAGAAGATAGTGGAGGCAGCCAAGCTTTTCATGGTTAGTCATAACTATGAAAAAACCAAATGTTTGCATAGCTATTATTTTTTAAAATTTAACTTAATAATTTAATGAAATATTTTACTAATTAAAAATACATGTGAAATTTAACATAAAATTTTAATTTCATGTTGATATATTCTTATTACATTTATTCTAATATCAACAAGTAAGTTATGATTAAAAAAATAAAAATAAAATACCATGTTGTGATTTAAACGTCAAAAAAAAAAAAAAAAATTAAAAAAATTCAGAAAAGTATAATTTTTGTTTTTAGCCATTCAAGTTTAATCCATATTCACCATTTGGACCTATTATTGAGTCACCAGATAGTTTAACACCATTCATCACTGAACATCCATATAGAATTTTAGCTAAAGGAGAAGGAGCTAATGTACCTTGGTTGGCTAGTTTTACAACTCATGAAGGCCTTTATCCAGGATCTGGTAATAAATGGACTGTAGTAATAAGATTTTTAAATTAAAACTCTAAAATCATCTTATTCGCCTTTTCTTAGAATTCATCAACGACGATAACCTTTTAAAGTATATAGATGAACATTGGAACGAAGTGATTCCACATATACTTGATTATAATAACACAATACCCCATTCAAGATTAAATGAAGTGTCACAAAGAATACGGAAAGAATACATGGGTGACAAACCACTAGTAAAAGGAGATACAACTGAGTTTATCAAGGTAAGCATTTGTTAGTGTTAAAATATCAATAACTAAAAAATATAACTGGATTATATGAGTTATAGATGATTGGTGATCGATTGTTTGTGGCGGATATAGTGAAGGCCGCTAGAATTCAAGCTCAATCTGTCAGTTCCCCTGTATACATGTACCAATTTGGTTATCGAGGCCACCATAGCCTTACAGAGATTTTTGCTAAATCTACAGAAAACTATGGTAATAATTGACTATTTTTAATTAATTTTTTCAAATAGAAATAAAAATAATTTTTTATTTAGGAGCAAGTCATGCAGATGATACGGCATATGCGTTACGCAATATTTATACAAATGTCGAAGATACTGAACAAGATAAATCTTTGGTACCAACTATGGTCGAAATTTGGACATCTTTCGCAATAAATGGGTAAATCTATAAAATAGAATAAAATCTTTTCTTATAGAGATTCCGTGTTAAGGGTGATTTTTTATCATGAACAACTCAATTACTAATAGAATAAAAATAATTTTTTTACTAGTTTTTAGTTATACAGCTATATTATTCTTGAATTATTAACTTTTTAATACTTTATAAGTTCATCCCTTATGCCTTGTAAGGTTTTTAACTTCATTTTTTCAAATAGGAACACATATTTGAGCTTGATGAAATACTTGAGGTTTTATTTTAATAGTAAATGGCATTTAAATTTTTAACATAACTTTATTTGTTTATTAGATATAAAACGTTAAAGTTTCATATATTTGAGTTAATATAGATATATATGACATGAGGGATTAAAAATACAGGAAGATTTTTTCATGACGTCGCTATTCTTATATAAGAAGTGTTTACTGTCATTTATGACTTTAATAATAGATATGCTTTAAGTATTAACAGTTGGTATATTTGTAAACTCCCAAAAACGTGCCGTACTTTATGCATATCTGTTGATAAAGTCATAATTTTTTTAAATATCTGAATATATATATTTTTTTTTTGAGAAGTAGTTTTGATACTTTATAGATCTATAAAGCACTTGAGTAAATTTATTCTAATATTTCATTGTATTTGAAAACTATATTTTTAACATTTTATTTTCTACAATATTCAAAGTAGTATTAAAAATATTTTTATAAATTATTTATATTCATAATACATATTGTTTTAAATACTATTATAATTTTTCATTTTTCTTCTTATTTTTTTTGTTTGGAGGGGTAATAAAAATTTTTCTTATGTATATCACAATTTCCCCAAAAAAAACGAAAGTTAACTACGCCACTGTTATGCTCACACTGACCTTCCGTCGACATTGCTCAATTATATCAAGAAATAGTAGAGATAAAGATAGTTTGTTTCAAAATGTCTTAAAATGTGCATTTAAATGATAAGTATGTATTTCTCAAAAAAAATAAATAAATTGTTAAAATTGACATTCCACCTTTGGAAAATAAACACAGAATTATTTGTTAGTTAAAAATTGTATTTGTCACTAAAGTTATAATACAATTTTTCAAGGGTACCTACTACTGGTGACATATCTATTGACTGGAAACCACTGAGTAAAGAAGCAAATATAACTGCTGTGCCATTTTTAAAAATTGCCTCACCGGATGACATATATATGAAAGCCGCAGAAGATTTGGGTAAATTGAGGTTTTGGGATTCATTGGAGTTCAACGAAAATGAACGTTACAGTTTGTACAAAAATCACATAGGATGCAAATCTGGGGAAACCTGCTATACAATTTCGTAATCTTAGGATCATTATGATAATATTTTAAATTATTTGAGTTATAGAAAATTAATTTTAAATTTCTCATTTTTATTTATGTTATTTTGTTCTATGCATTATCTTTGTTATATTGTACGCCCCATATTATATGAGCCTATAGCTTTAAAATATATTGTTATTTCCGTAATGAAATTAAAAATTAAATTTATGAATTCTTTAAAGAAAATATAAATTTCTTTATAATTAAAGAAAAATAAACATTACAAGGAAAAAATGTCTCAAATTTATACACTTATAAATTAAACGTTTAAATTTAATTTAATTTATAAGACCTTTTGTGAAGTTATATAAAAATAAACTCTGATAGTTTGCTTACTACGCGATTTGTAGCGCCGTTCTTGTGTATTTGCACAATAACCCAAATTTACGAGTCATGCTATAATTATAGCGTTAAACTAAAAAAATAGGATCAGAACTTTCATTTTTTATTATAATCTAACATAAAATAAAAAAATGATTTTAGTATTGTAATATACATTTTTTTATTTAGTCTAAAAATAATTTAACATAAACATAAAACTTTTTTTATTAGGATTTATAAAATTATCATACTATAATTAAAAATTTAATATACTTACTACGCCTACTACTACGTCAAATGCAAATCTGTAACGTCAATTTAAGATTTATTTAAAAGAAATATTTTAGTTTTGTGTTTGATACTTTAAAATTTTATAGATTATAATATAGGACTTTATTGGTTACTTCTTTGCAGCTAGAGTTTTTTTATAATAATTGATAACAATATGCTTATTATTTAACTTAGAAGTTGAATGAAAATTCAAAATATGTTTATTTAATTGTCATATATTTTGAATAAATGAAATAAATGATTAATTTTTCCGTTGTCATATAGTTTAAAGTAAATTTAGAATACTTATTTAAATAATTTAGCAGCTTAATATATTGTTTACTAAATAAAATAACTTCAAATTCATTATTCATAATACCTTTTATAATTATTAAGAAGTAGTTAATAAAGTACTATATTATAGTCGATAAAAGTTTAAAACTATTAAATACAAAACTAAAATATAGCTTTTGTAACACTATATCTGTTGGGAGGTGAGCGGGAATATTATTAAATTAATAAAAAATTATTCGTACGCTCAAATTTATATATATCTCGTAACGCACTGCACAATAGAGATGTGTCGTTCGCGAACGAACGGATCGCGTTGAACGGGTCAAAATAGCGAACGAAATGATTCAGATCGCCGAACCGTAGTGATCCGGATCCCCCAAAAACTAATTTTTTCCCGTATAAATCACACTGAACCGATTTGATCGCTTACCAAATATCAATGATAACATATTCATATGTCATTTGTTTATACGACACATCCCTAATCCGAATCGCGAATCATACATGCGATTCGCGAATCGAGAACCGCAAAAGAATCAAAACTATACTGAATGTTCCATTCAATTGACTCAAACTATCTTTTAGATGGCGAACGGGTCTTTGAACCGGATCTTCTAGTTGACCTGATTCGAATGAATCGGATCACTTAGGTGAACCATAATTCCCATCTCTACTGCACAATGATTTGCGGTGTACTGGTTTTAGATAAAATACAATATGCGATAAGCGCCATTTAGTTTAACGGTCGTTCGATATAACATAGGCCGTAACAATATCATTCGTTTTTAATTGTTACTATGTGATGGATTCTTTGTAATTAACTTATTTAAAGTTGGTTAATACAAAAGTAGATATGATGAAAAAGATTTTTAGTAAAATAAGTATATTTAATTAAAAAAGGTTTTTATCCGTCATTCTAATTAACATTTTACAAGAATATGTTGTTAAACAAAAAAACGAGGCTATTAAATGTATTTTATGAAAACCTAACTAAAGATAGAGTTTTCTTAAAATTATTGAGTTTGAAAATGTTTCTAATTTCATTGAAAGCTACAAATTAGGAAACATCTGCTACATAAATCTTAATAAACTATTTTAAACATCGGAAACTACTATTTGTTTTTTTCTAAAATTGGATTGAGTTTGATAATAAATTTTTGAACAAAATTTTATAAAATATAGAAAAGCGTTTAAGTTGAGATTCAAAATTAATAATTATATTTTAATAAAATGTTCATTACAGTAATTAATTTTTTATGTTTAACACTTATTTTATCAATCGTTGAGAGTAGTCATGTAAGTTAATTAAAAATAATTTGTATTTTAATTATTTTCTAGTAAAAGTACTTGTCTTTATAATATGATTTCAATATACTTAAATATTTATACTTATTATTTATAGTTATATAATATTTATACTCTAAATATTTTATATATTTATAATAATATTATGTATTGATTTTAGAATACAAACAAATTTTAATGATATTTTTATTAACTAAAGTTTATTTTAGAATGCATTTAAAAATAGATTTAATTTATTTTATTTGTTAAAAATGTTTCAAAAATACTATTAAAACATTAAAATATTTGAAAATGAATTTGAACTTATTCGAGTACAATCATGTTTTTTAAAGACCACCCAATTATATTATTAAATATTAGTTAAATTAGGTTTAATAGTTAAATTATTTCAATTCTATTTTTAATTATTTTGAAACAAACAATGATATTTAGAAGCATATTTGTGGGGTTGTTTACGGGTTATCCCCTTCTATTTAGTATTAAATTCTAGCAATACTAATATATATATATATTTAAGAAGCTTCAAAAAAATAATGATTAATAATTCGGTTCTGGTACGTACTTTCGTATCTTTCTTCCCGATAAGCTATTTTCCAATACCTATTTTCCCAACAAATCCATTTCATAACAACATAAAACAATTCCCTGTGCAGAAGCATTTATTATTGCCTGTGTAAATCATTCGCCAAACTTTCTCTTTGGCAATCCCAATATACACGGATATTTCGTTGTTGCTATTTATACTGACTAGTATAAAACACTAATTAAATGCACTTACTGGTATACGTAATACGTGTAGTATATAATAATTTAGTTACCAAAGATAACTATAAAACGTAATATCACTCACCATTTTAATCTTGAAAGTAAATAATTTAACAATAAAAATTAAAACAATGGCACAATTTATCGAAAAACATTAATCATCGATGGATTTATTTTCGTTATATTGCGGCAATGAAATACTTGTGTATATTGGGATTGCCAAAGAGTAAGATTTGGCAAGTGTTTTTCACGGGCAATAACAAATGCGGTAGCATGTAATGAAGATCCAATAGTGATCATCAAAGGACCTACCGAATCGTGACATACTCACTCATCTAGTCAAGTCGAGTCGAGATTGTGATGACAGGCATAAAATGGAAGGTGGAAGAGTATCCAGGAGCAGTCACCAAGCAACTTGTTTGTAAATAGTTAATAGAAGTATCTCCAGATATCTTAACTCAGACTCCGAATAGAATTGATTTGAAAAACCTTTCATCGTACGCGATATTATAATCTTCCCAAATCTTAAATCTTTAGAAGATTTTCACGACTAGCTGTTGGAGTTTTAGCGCACGTTTCAGAGGGAAAAGTTTTTACTACATGAGAACTGCCAAGTCGACAAAGAACAAAAAGTGATAAGTAAATACCGGGCAAATGTATAATAAAAACTCAAATAATGTGTATTTTTGAAAAAATTACTATGAAAAGTTTTGAATACCTTAAAATAAAAATATAATTATACAGATTTTCATAAAAATATGTTTATTTAAATAAAAAATAAAATTTGTTCATTTTAATTTTATCACTTATTAGTGATTAATAATAAAAAATATGCTTTAAACGTAATTAAAGTAGGCAATAATTATTTGAAATAAAATTGATAATTGAATAAAAATTTATGAGAGTCGTCAGTTAAGTATGAGACACTATGTATACCCACTTATAAATTTCTTCCTATTGGGAATATTCCTATTACCTATCGCTAGAAAGATTTTTTGTTATAACAAAAATTGTCGGTAGTTATCCATTCAGGATAGTGGCTTGTCAGGAATGTGGAATCTGATTTACTAATAATCTACCTAATAATTCTTACAATTTTAGAACTTTGAAGATACTGCAATAAAATTAAAAACAACATTAAAAACGGTATTAAATAGGGTAAAAGTTGACATTGATGGAGTAGAGTTGCATTACAATATAATTGAAGGTGGGGAGATAGTGCTTGTCATTATTAATGGACAACGTGGTATGAATTATTACATAATTGCTTGATTTCATAGACCAAGTTGTTGTTTTTAATAGTATTATTTATTCAACATTTTATTTTTGTAGAAATACCTTGTAAGTCCTACTACCAAGATCTATTGTTATATCTCGATAACAAATATTACACAATAATCTTAATTGATATTCCTGAATTTGACGATAGTATCCCAAATTCAAATCTTACAGTTAATAATTACTTAGACAAAGATGTAGGTGTTGTGATCAGGACATTAAGAGTAATTTTTTATATTATCAAATTTTATATCAATATTTTTAGATTAAATTTCTTTTCTTTAAATTTTAGAAATTGGATATTTTTGAATATTCAGTTTTAGGATGGGCTTATGGAGGCATTGTAGCATTATCTATTGCAGCTGTAGATACAGATATGGTAAAAAATATCGTTATAAAAGATGTTTATCCAAAGCCAGAAATATATTTTGAATCGTCTCAAAAATTTGAGAATAAGGAACAATGGAGTAAAAAAGTTTTAAATAAAATTACAGCAAGAGTTTTAATTGTTTATATGTCGAATGAAAATTTTTCTAAACAAGAAGCACTATATTTAGAAAAATGTATAAAAAATACAATGTAAGATTTTTATTTAGAATAATTTTTGTTCAGTCATATTAAAAATATATTTAAATTGATTGTATTTAGTTGAAACGTCAAATTTGTTATGGTAGCATATCTAATTATTTTCAAAAGTTCTAATATTATTTTTATCTTCTTATTGATTCTTTAAAACTAAATTAATTCCTAATGTTTAATTTGTCACACATTGTTAATTTTAAGGAGTTAGAAAACTAAATTTTATAATTTGCTCCTTAAAAGTAAATCTTTAATTTTCGAATTTAATGTAATATCTGTTCAAAATTTTAAGAGAAACAATAACTTAATGTCACTTCAATCATTATTATTTACTTCACATTATACTTAATTGCAGTAAATGCTTAAAAAATTATTAATTAATTGGCATTTAATTTCAGACTTCAAAAGTACCGTGCAACAATGAATTTAAAACAAATGGGCCATATGAATTTCTTTACGAAATTAATACCTAATACGATTAAGCCGAAAAATGCTCTGAACAACATTGTGGATATTTTTTTGCGAGATGAACTACATTAATATATTTATTTAAAATTATATTATTAGAGTTAAAAAAAGTCATAGATAATTCTTGGTTCATAAGTAATTGTATTTTAAACCTGATTAAATTTTAAAATATTGAAAATTATCAGTGTTTTAACAATTTATATTATCAAAAGAAATAAAATATCCTTTTTACAGATTTTAGTTATTAATTTTAAAAAATCACATAAATACGGATTAATACAAATTTTGTATACTAAAAGCAGTTAATAAGACATTATGATTAATTGAGAAAATTGCAATTTAGTTATTATACATTTTATTATTAACTTCTTAAAAATAATATATTAAAGCACACATGGAAACTAGATAAAACTATCACGACGGATCCTTTCTTGTTTCCTGTTTCAAAACAGCTCACTGAGTATTCAGAATCATAAATAATTTTTTTTTTAAGCAACTTTATTTTACCTTTACTATTCAGAGAACGTTGCGGTAACGCGATCAACGATTGGAGATATTAGAAAATCAATTTAAAATGAGTGTAACTATATATTCCATGTAGATTAGATTCTTATAAATTTAATGAAAATCAGTGATTCCATCATCGTGATCACTCATTTTAATTTACTATAGGTTATAATAAGGTGTAATTTAATTCTGCTTGTGTTGTTGGAAAAAATTGTTGTGCAGTTAACTTATAAAATAACTTGTAATGAATAAAAAGCAAACTAGGGACTAGAACCATAGTTATTTATAGGTTCGACTGATTGACAGTTTTCCACTTTTTCCTCAATATTTGTATTTATTTGGCTCCATGGCTTCATATAGTCAACACCAGATGATGTTTTAATGGGACCTTCAGTTTCATCAATGTTGGCTATTTCATATCTGCCAGGTTCTCTGTGTTTAGTGATTTGATATAGACCCAAAATCTTTTTGTGAGTTTTAGAAAGTGACTTGAATTGTATTCTCAAAATCGCCTTTTTTAATATTTTTCGAGTAACCTTCTGCTTACAACTTTTTCGTCAAGTTAATATAAACACAATGCAATTTCTTATAATGTTCTTAATTTGTGTTTTCATATTTGCCACAGAATATTCTTTCTTTAATAGTTCTTCAACTTTTTTACATCCAAAGTGTTCTATTTGATGCGCTTTTCTTATTACTTCCTCATACATGGACCTAGGAACAACAAACAGTTATTGGCTGTCTTTCATCTTGTTCAGTAAATCATGTTCAATTAAATAATTTTTATGAGAAGCTAGAACTTCTATCAAAGCGATAATATCCATATCCATCTTTTGAGTTCTTAGTTAAATCAAAAATTCATTTTCAATCACTAAGCATATGACTAAGAACATCAACATGAGGTGAGCGAGATCCACTTTGGTGTTTGACTGTATAATTATAATTTTTAAGCAGTAGATTCCATCTTGCTACTTTAGTCGCTAAGTCATTTTTTTCATAATTATTGTAAATGCAGCACACAGTCATTTATAAACTTTAAACTGTATACCTAAGAAATAAACTCTTAATATTTTCAAGGCTTTGATAATATCAAGTATCTTTAGTTCATAACTATGATATCTTCTCTGGGAATCGTTCGTCTTCATGCTAGAATAGTATACTGGATAAAAATGACCATCATAAGCATCCTTTTGTATTAGTATAGCCCGAAAACCACCAGCACTTACATCGGCATGTAGTTTTGTTTCAGCATGAGGATTATATATTTGTAGAACTGAATTATCCACCAATTTTTTTTTCAACATACTTGGCATATTGTCGTATATCCTCTTAATAAAGTTTTATCTTTATTGTTTGCGACTTCATCCAACTTCAACATAAATGACTTTCGACAAAGATTCACATGACTACCAGTATCAACTAAATCATTTGTTTGTGAACTAAGGAGACCCTTAAATCAAATGTCTTTTTTTTAATCTACCCCTTAAATTTTTTTAATGTTCATAAAAATAAGTTGTGCGAACTTTAGGACTGATTAATTAAGCTTAACTCGTACCACCGGACCTTTAAGTTGAGGCAATTATAATAAAAATTACTGATCTATGTCTTATAACTTATTTTTACTTAACTTAGATTATGAAAGTAAAACTTATGTAAAGGAAATTTTATATGAAATTCAATAATAATAAATTAGTTTCCTTAACCAAAAAATTTAATAACTGGAAATTTAATTAGATTTGTAATTAATAATTAATTAACTGGTCATGATATAATAAATTTAGTGTAATTATCGTACTTGGCATTAAAAGTTAGAATTTTAGAATTTTCTTTTAACTGAATGAGCGTTTTCTGAAGAATAAAATAAAAATAAATAAGTAAAAACAAACAAAATCAGTTACAACGAATTTTTAAGATTTATACATGTTTTTTTACTGTATGTAGTGATTTTGTGAGCTATTTATTAAGGAAATAACATTGGCATTATTATTTTTGAATTTCCTTGTATTATTTTTTTACGTGAGTTTTACTTTCATAATTCTAAGTAAAGTAAAAAAAAAGTTACGAGACACAGATTAGTTATTTCTATTAAAATTTAAATTTTACACCTTGTATATTAACTAATTTACTTATACGATTAGTAGACTTAATAACACCATTGATTTGATTCACTTATTCCCTGTGGATAGGGGATAAGAATACTTCCACGGCCCCTTTACCAGTCGTAAGAGAAGACTAATGAGGTTGCGTCAGGTCGACAGACGGCGTAAAATTTTTTGTCAAATAGTATGAGGTGTCCTGAACAAAACTTAGGCGAATTGTCCTATCTCAGATGTACGTGGGGACAACAGGTGAGAGGGAATTAAGTAGTTAAAAATGGAGAAGGCCTAAAGAATAAAGTGTTTGATACCAGCCGTACAACTTGTGTGGTAGCTGTTTCACCAGTCATGTGTACAGGCCTACCTAACGCTTGTAGTGTCAATGGTGTAGGGACATCACTACTTAACTCTAGGTTGGACGCGTGTATAAGGGAGAAAGATGGATACAAAGTAAGAATAGGTACTTGGAATGTTGGAATATTAACTGATAGAAGTAGAGAATTAGTAGAAGTATTGAAGAGAGAAAAGTTAACATTTGTTGTCTGCAGGAAACTAAGTGGAAAGGAGAGAAATTGAGGGAAATAGGTGAGGGTTATAAAATAATATAATCAGGTAAGTTTAGTACAAAGAATATTGTAGGGATAATAATGGATGAGGAGATGAAGAATAAAGTAGTAGAATTAGCTAGGAAAAGTGACAGAATTATAGTTGTAAAATTGATATTAGAGGAAAAATTTCTGAATGTAATAAATACCTATGCACCATAAGTAGGATGTGATGAAATAGACAAGGAAGTATTTTGGAGAGAGTTAGATGAGGTGATGAAAGGGGTACCTGGAAATTAGGATGTGGTGATAGATGGAGATATGAATGGACAAGTAGGTAATGATAGAAGAGGATATGAAAGAGTACATGGAGGGTATGATTTTAGTGGGAAGAATGAGGCTGGAAAAAGAATCCTGGATTTCGCAGTATCGTATGATCTTCCTGTGGTTAATTCTTATTTTAGAAAGAGGGAAGAACATTATATAACTTATATGAGTGGGAGAAATAGGACATAGATCGATTATTTTATGTGGAAGAGAGAGAGCGTAAAGCGAGTAAAAGATTGTAAAGTTATAACAGGCGAGAGTGTAACTAGACAATATAGACTGATGGTAATGGAGTTGTGGTGTACCGGAAAGAGAATAAACAAAAATAGAAGAAACAGAGGGGAAAATTGAAGATCCGGTGGTAGAAATTGAAAGGTGAAAATGAAAAAGAGTTTGTAAAGACGATAAAAGAGAGGACGGTGTGGAATGTCAAGGGAGACATAAATGATGTATGGAATAGATTTGCTAGTTGTGTTAAGAATACTGCAAAGGAGATTGTTGGTGAGTTTAAGAGTAGAATGCCAGGAAACAAGGAAACCTGGTGGTGGGATGAGGACGTTAAAAAAATTATCATCCTCTCCAAAATATAAATAGCTCAGAAACTATTTCTTTAGTGAAGACTGCTATAATGTATAGCGTGTCATAAAAGTATATACAATTGATTAGTCATGAAAACTGTTATACTAAATATTATTAGTATAATAGTTTATATTAATTATTTTATATTATTACAATAAGTTATTTTACTAAATAAAAATGTTTTGTGGGAGGGCTAATAAAATATTGGAAAGGAGAACTAAGCCCCCTATTTTTGTCTAGAATTTTTTAATTCATTAAATAAAATGGTAGATATTAAAAGTTGTTAGAATTTAAAACATGTACGATGGACATTTTCGTATACTAATCAGCATTTTTTATTATTATTATGTACGTATTTAAAGTTAACTAAATAAAATTTTGTTTGTCAAAATCTTAAAACTTTAGTCGTTTTTTATATAAAAAAGTGTAGACAAGGCATAGATGGGACAAGTATAGATGATATTTGACAGTGATTAAAATCACTATCATAAGAAACGCTTCGATGCAAATCTGTAGATAGTGTTTCATTTAGAGAAATTGGTGGATTATTCCAAAAGCAACATCAACTCTTATTTTTTTGATTATATCCTGTAAGAACATTTATTACTATGTTCTTACCACTTATATTACACACGTTTTATTTCTATTTATTTAATTCGTAATACATATTAATTAGCATAGAGGGAGATGCTGATGTGACAATTCTACTCGTCTGTAGTCCGGAGCTACTGACGTCGAACTAAAAAAGGGCAGTTGTGTTTGAGTGGCCGTTATAGACATATTTTTCAATATTATTACTTACGTCTTATTTATATTATTTATAACTTAACTTGTTTTATTCAACGACCCGTCTATCGCCAATTTTCATCATAGCCAACCAACTCCGTCTCACTTGGATATACCTACTAACCAACTGTACTAGGATTCAGGTCAGACGTATTGTACATTACATATAACTTATATTTAGTAAATATAAGTTAAAATCGAAAATTTCAACACAAAATTAGCGTTTTTTTAACTACGGCAGCCGTTTCCATGCAGAAAATAAAGTGTCGGGACAAATTTTTTTTTTTCATTTTATAGTACATAAAATAAGCTTTAATTTGATATATGTTTAAAACACGCAGTATTTCCGGAACATTTTCAAAAATTAAGTTGAAAAAGTTAGTTTTTGTAAAAAAGTTGCTATTTTAAATCCCCTTTGTGAGCAGAATAAGTGTTAGATTTTCAAAAAAAATGATATCAAATGAAAGGGAAATATCTTAGGTTTTAGTATAAAAAAAAATTATATTGATTTGTTTATTTTTGAAAAAGTTATGAAATTTTTAAGAAAAAAAATTTTGTTTGTCAAAATCTTAAAACTTTAGTTAACCTCAAATTTTAACGCAATTTTTACTGTTTTACTACTATTTTTCAACGCATTTTTAAATTAAGATCCGAGCTTTAGCCAGTATTAATCAATTTTGAGCTGACGATAGTTATAATAACAATAATAATATCTATTTAAACCAAATGATATTAGAACAAATAAAAATATATAAAATATATAATACATGGCACCTTTCTGAAAAAGCATAGCGTATGAGAGGGATATGTTAGTATTATCAATACTCACCTATCCCATTCTTAAATTAAAGATTTCCTTATTATATTGAATTATACATAATTAAACCTATATACAAGGTTTCGCCTCCCGTTTTTATGTCTATGGTATCCGAGTAATTTTCAAACTATTTCAAGTGTTATTTGCGATATACATACATCGTCGTTTCAATAGTTATATTTGACGAAGCAATTTTGTTGAGTTAATGCGGAATTTTTCTCTGTTCGCTTTTCGCAAGATTTTATCATTATTAATCAGTTTCTAACATCAATTTGATTTTTATCAAATTGTTTGATAATATAACAGTTCGAGATGCCTAAGAATAAAATTTCTAATGAAGATTTCTAAGATATCTAGACTTCAAACATAAGTCATTGATTTTAGACTTGATCATAGCAAATCTCATTTAAGCTGCACTGAAAATTTGTATAATTTATAAGAAAAATATGTAACTACAAATAAATAAATGATGTCTATGTATTGTACTTCTATTTTGATTATTTTAAATAGATACAAACATTTTGAAAATATTATAACGTACAATATAACAATTTGCAAATTAATATTGTGCTTATACCACAGAAGTACCTATTAAATGTTGTTATTTTATAATATATGTATATGTCTTCAAATGAAAGTATAAAAATAGGTACATATTTTTTTTCAATTTTCTTTTAACATTTTTAGGTAAATAAGGTGATATGATTGTTTCAGAACAATACAACAATTGTATGGCCCCACTAATTTTCTCACGACGAAACAAAACATTTATTATAATTTATACAATGAAAATAATTTTAATAATATAATTTTAATTATCTAAAATCTAAGTATTATAGAACATTATGTACATGATGTATTAGACAAAATATTATATAATAATATAAAGTAAACATTTTATTATGATATTTATCTATAAATAATCACATTGTCTTTAAATATTCGTATTGGCAAGCTTTGGTGAATTTACATAAACAATTACAAATATAATAATGAGGCAAGACAATATAGTTGGTTGTTCAAACTTTTGGCTTTGGTAAGACTTTATCTGATTAAGAAATGACTTAGACAAAGTGAATGTTACAAAAAAAATTGGAAAGTGACTAAATGATAATAACATATAAATAATATAATTCGGTTATGGCATAACACGTTATCTTAAGGTAGTAAAATAATATAAAGTTCTAAAATATTAATTACAAGCACAAATAAACATATATATATATATATATACTAAGCAAAATTAAAAAAATATAATGAAATAAATATAGATATAAAAAACAAATAAATTTTGTTTAGACTTTTTCATTTTATATTTTTATTTGTGGTATTCATTTATTTATATTATGAGCACTTGATTTGGACTAACATTAAAATGGTATATTTTATTGTCAGTGACCAGGAAAACTGACAGGTGATAAGAAATCTCCACATCTTGGGAAATTTTCAGGTACTGGAGGTAAGTCAGCGTGAGTTCCAACATGGAGTACCAGATTCATTCCAATTACGATATGGAATAAGAAATGGCAATGGAATAACCAGTAACCTAATTATGAAAAATTGAGTTAAAAAATAAAAAATCGTACATCGATAATAATCGTTTTATTTAAAATAATTTATAAAAAAAATTAAAAAAATATATGAACAGTTACCTGGATTGTCAGCTCTAAACCTGAAGACTACATAACCATTGTTAGGTACAGCAATGGTATCCTTTGATGGTGGTAAGTTGAAGTGTCTGTCAAGAAGACCTCTCCTATCCAAATCTAAAGCATGTTTTAAATTGATTTTCTTTACATTTTTGTCAGGTGAACGTCCCATACCAATGACATTGAATGAATAACCGTGCAAATGGAATGGATGACTTAAGTTGGGTTGTTGGACTAAAAAATTATTAATAAATATAAGGACATTTCCATCAAATATATATATATATATATATATAAATAATTTTTTTTTTAATTTTGATTTAAAAAATATACAATTGGTTTAAGTTTTACCTTCATCGACAAGAACGACTTCTACAACCGCATGCATTGGGATGTCTACTTTGTGTGTGCACATGCAATTTCTACCACAGTTTGGTGGCTTATTGTCTCCGTTACAGAAAGATTCTGGTGGAATATCATCGATCTGAGAAAGCATAGGGGATGCTGGAGACTTGTGAGATATTTCATCAATCAAACTGATAACATGATCTCCACCACCAGGAGCAACTAAAAGCCATAAAAAATAAATATTATTTTTCAAAACTTTTAAATATTTGTGTTTAAAGAATAACCTTATAATTAACATTACCTAAATAATTGTTATATTGATTAGGTTGGAAAAGCTCTTCAGGTGTGTAAATCAAAAATTTGAATGGTAAGAAAATTTTGACATCTGGTCTTTCTTGTAATAGACCCTTATCAACTACTTTAGCATTTTTCAATTGGTTTACACAGACGGCGTCCTTTCTTGGGCGATCACATATGGCATCCAATGGATTCAATACCTAGTTAATCCATCAAAAATCAATTTATATTTAAATACTAATTATTAAAAGTATTATTTATGATTATAAATAATATGATAGTAGTATTATAATTTATTTAAAATTAAACTTACAACTCCTTGTGGTAAACCGACATCATAACTTGGTCTATCAGATTTTGGAACGTATGGACCTCTAGCGTATCTAAGTATACCCACTTGTTGGACACGTTTAATACCACATTCTCCGAGTGCTCGGACTTGAATCCAATATGCTCCCACAGGTTGTTCAGCATTAATAATGAAATCGTATCTTTCACCTAAAATATTAAATTAGTATATTAAAATAAAGTAATATCTAAAATTATTTTGAATATCTAAATTTACCTGAAAATGAAATAATAGTGTTTACGACCACTGGTTGGATGGGCTCTCCATCTGCAGCAATAAGTACTAAAGGATGTCCTTGAATGGTAAGTTGAACTGGACAAACTGATGCTAAAGAATTGATCATACGGAATCTATACCTTCTACCGGGTGTAACGGTGAACGTCTCTAATGGCGTGTTGGTGCTGAACCCAGTATTACGGTCCTAAACCATATAAGTTGAAATAAATTGTTTTTTAATTTATAATTTTTTTTTTTTCAATAAAAAAATACTAACGGTGAATTGTCCTTTGCCGTTGATCAACAATGATTCTGGATCTTGTCCAGTGTTAGCAGCCAATCTACCAGGGAATCTTTCTATAGCATATTCGTGAAGCCAATCAGACAATAATACTACATGAGTAGTCAAATCATAATCGTAAAGATGACTGTTTGGATCATGTGATGGTGGTTGACGTACTACGATACTGCCGTAAATACCATCAATTTTCTGTAGACCTATAATAATTTTAAAAGTATTTAAATTAAATAAGGAGTATGTGTAATTGAATATGTGAAAAATAAAAAACTTTTTAACATTTTTAGTTTACCAAAAGGTGAAAATTAATCGCTTTTATAGTAATGTACTTAAAAATTGGAAGAGAAATAATTAATTAAGTCATACATTCACATTGGCCAATAGATATTAAAAGAATTATTTGTACGTATTAGGACTATTTATAAGTAAAAAAAAAATTATGTATAAGATAATAATGTGTATTTAAGTTTATAATTCATTTGAGCATTTTTGACTTTCTAATGCATAAAATCACCAATTATATGCATTATTATTATTAAACCAGATCTTTAATTTAGTCAATATAATATTATGATCGATATAAATGTAAGTTTTGAGTATAATTTAGGGATAAAAAATAAATTGGATTTTTTTTTGATTAGTTGGTTATAAATCGTAAATTTATATATTGGATAGTTCGTATATGTTTAAAAAAGATTCTCAAGTCACGTTTTGTCAGGGTTTAAACACGTTTTCTGAGCATCACTGTTAACAAATAGGTAAATACGTTACATCTTTAAATAATCGAATGCAAAGCTACCTAACTGCACTATTGTTACTTTCACTACAAATAATATACAATTCATGTGTTATTGGTGACCGTTATTGTGAATATAAGTTTATATATATGTAAATTTTGATAAGCCAGAGTTGATTAGGTGTAATTGATTTAAAAATGCATGTATACTTTTACATGTATTTCTTAACATAAAAAGAAATCTTTGTATAGTAAATACTTAATAATGGTTAAAATTCTTACCGGAATGGGAGTGCCAAAAGTGAGTACCAGCATTTGCATTGAATTGATATCTAAACGTATTACCTTCATGAATTGGACATTGGGTAACATAAGGTACACCGTCATAGTATTGGGTACCTCGCTGGTGAATACCATGCCAATGAATTACCAAATCCATACCTTGCATTTTATTCAAGGTATCAATAACTACTTTGTCTCCTTCACAGACCTACATTTGATATAAATTAATAACATTTTTAGAGAATAAAAATATTTATATTTATATGATTTACCTGTATGCTTGGACCGGGCAACATACGGTTGATTGATAACATTCCTCTTTCAACTCCGTCAGCTAAAATACATTGACATTGACTCCATAAAGTGTTGGTAGCGTTTGGTGTACAAACTTGACAAGCTCTATTTAAAATAAAATTTCAGTTACATAGTATTCTCAATTGTAAGATATATATTTTTAGTTATAGAATCTGAATGGTAAAAAAAAAACACGAAGTTAACTTACGCTCCCAGTACATCGTAAAGTTCAGCCGTAAAATGGTAATAACATATTTTAGGTGGATCTCCCTCCCGGCAAGCCCTAGCGCATTCTTCGGGTGATGATAATTCAGGGTTTTTACGCAACTCTTCTAAACCTCTTTTATCGAAATCTAAAGAAGAGTATCCTAATGGTGGTACATTTACGTGTGATGCCTCAGAAATACCTATTAATAATAAATAAATTTGTAGTTGAAAATAAAAATTGACAGTAATAGTTTTTAACGTCACATACTTCCGAAACCATTGAATGTGGCTGGGTGAGTCTGAACCAGACCATGAGCAGCTGAGAAATAATCTTCTGGTGCAACATAAGCAGCGGAATCATCGTTTATAATTCCATCAGGAGTCCAATGTGATGCCGCTGTTTCTTGATCATCAGAATCTTCTCCTAAAAATTTAATAATTTATGATTAAAAAATTTAAGTTAAGCACTTAATTATTGATTCACGATGAATTCGATTCAGATAATATTTTAAAGAAACATAAAAGTGATAACTGATTGCAAGTTAAAAAAGTCCATAACTTTAATATCTAATAAGTATTACATGTTTTTTAATTTAAAGCTGTCATTAGATTTTTCAATACTAATTAATTTATCGACCTGATTGAATAGTTTTTACTTTGCAATAGTTTGCAATTAATTTTAAATAGGACCTAGATTATTTCTTGTAGATTTTTCAATGAGTATTATGTTAGTTAAAAGAACTATTAAGTCGTTTGATAAATGATGCTTTTTAAACAAATAGAATTAACTTAATGATATTATTCACTTTCTAATTTCACTAGTTTGCAGTAATGATTTAATACAATATTTAAATTCCATTATTTAAATACAAAAATACTATAATATATAACGATCAATTAAATTATGTATATTTATATTTGTATATTTGAATTTTAAAGTGGTTTTTGTTTTCTAGTAGAAACGTATAAATGGTTTATAATCAATAAACAATAATTGAACTTTATTTTTATGAATAGATATGTATAATGTATTTATATAATGTAATTATTTAAAAAAAGTAACGTTAATGACTGGTTAAGATCTATTTAGTTCACTTTCAATTCAAACATGATTATTTTTGTTTCTGGCTCGTGGTCACGGTTCCGTGACTGTTTAATCTTCAGTATCGTATCAATAAAAATAATTTCCAGAAAGAAAAAATAACAATATGCTACCTTTAGAATTTTTTATGAGGTTCGGATTATGAAAATACCATTTTTTATATAAATATAAAATCATAGCATTTATTAAACATTTTTCAAACAATTATTCATAAAAATTATGCAAATTGTATTCGTTTTATTACAATTAACGTATTTTAATAATATAATTAATAATAATTTATTAATAATTTTGGTTAGTAAAGCATTTATTCAGCATTCACTCATATATTAGATGTTTGTGGTTAACATTAAAAACAATTGTATAACATGAACTTACAAATTAATTACCTTAATCCAAATTAATTAAATCTAATATTAGAAATATGAAGTTCACGTGATAGCGTATCTTAATATATTAATAATATAACTATAGCATAGGTCAAAACAATGCTCATAATTTCGACCAAAAACCTCAAAAATATATAATACTTATAACACGCACTCACGCGTTAAAAATGATTATTCGACCAATTATATAACAGACAACTTTTTCAATTATTTTATTTCCACGTTTAATGTCAACAATAAAAAAATTGTTACCAGACAAATACCACGCTGACATCCTAAACCCGGAAATTAAATTCCCTGTTATTTCGATGTTATGACGTAGTATAACCGCCTTAACCTCTATACAAAATCTAGAGTAAAAATGGCTTGTATTTTTATTTCGCAAGTTTTATTTCATTCAACGATCACTCTTACAAATAAAAAATTGATTTTGTTATTTGCCAACATTGAATGGAGCAAATGTTATTAAATGTACTAAATTAATTGTGTTTTTTTGTCTAAATGTGCACTCGAATTAAATTATATGAAAAATCAAATAAAATTAAAAACATTTTATGTGTTCTTATAAAGGTATTTATTTTTTAAAGGTTGATTTGGTATTCTTTATTCTATTAGATAACCGTTCGTTGTCTTTCATAATTTCTTTTTGTATTCTCGCATTATTTATAGCTGCACTCGACTTGCCAGTTCTTTTTGGAGCTGGAGACTTCATGAAACGCCTAGGTTTTGCATTTTCGATTTTGTCCTTAATTATCTGGTTAGTTAAGTTAATCTGCCAGATTTGCTGATCAGTAAAAGAAAAATTTTTTTTACGTTTACCATAAGAACTACAATTGCTTTGACCACTCTCGGAACCACTAATTGTCGATCTAATCTTCATGTTACTACAATAACGGCTACCCATTGATAAGTTTGAAAGCTCTGATCGAAATGTCACAATTCAATAAAGAAGAAAAAATAAAATGATTACATATTTGTCAGGTAACAAGCTTGTTGATATACTCTAGTAATATTTTTTTTTTAGCCGCTTACTATTTTTATTTTTCGCTGTATACATCAATATAGTCTAACGTAGCTAATACACATTTACATGTTCACGTATAGATAGGTTTAATTTATATTTTATATATTATTTGAAGCAATAAATCATAGTGATAACATTAAATTATAAAGTCATATGGAAATATTGCATTCGAAACTGAAATGTGATAATTTATTTGTGAATCGTGAATTGTGTTTGCTTATAGATTTTAAAATAACAGCAGTGTACACAAAAAAGAGAAATCTATAGCATTCTGCTAAGTACACAGATTAATGTATAATAATAGTCAGCTGTACCAAAATCTAAACGTTATCGGGAACTGTACTCAAGTGTTTCTATACGTCGGCCGGAATTGTAATTGGATAATTATACGGTAATTACGGTCAGAGAGTTAGTGACGTGACGTTGGATTGATATAATAATAAAACTTTCTGAACAAGATTTCCATCAAGAAATCATAATTATTGTTATGGAGTTGAGCAAAAGTTACACGAGTTGAACCTAAAAAAAACATATAGCTTATTGTACTACAAGTACATCTTTTAAATTCTATTTATTAGTGGCATCGACATTTAAGTGAAACTCTCAGAGTGCATTTTAGTGTAATATATGTTGGACAGTAATATGCTTACTGGGCGAGGTTATCTTTATCTAGTATCGTAAAGATATTATAGTGCACAATAAAAATAAAATATAGTAAATAGTCATTAAAAAATGAGACTAGAATAGCAGCTGGCACACGTCTCTATAGTGAAAATGTGTAATTATTGCTGTGAATGTTTTCTGTAATGATACATCATTTATTATAAATGCTTTTGAAATTTACACCCAATCTATTAATAGTCTCATCGTAAATTGTCATGTTACGAATTTTTGAGTTAAGTTTACCTAGTAGATATTAAAAAAAACACCATAAAACTATTATAAATCTCGTATTTCTCTCGCATAATTTCATTATAGTTTCAAATTTCGAGTGGACCGGTTAACATAATTATGTGGTATAATAGGTGACTGTTATTAATAATTAAAATATAATTTGAGTGCTTGTATATTACCATTATACGTATAACTATACTAATTTTGCTAAAAAACATTAGGTTAAGGGTGCATTGTGTGATCCCTTATGTGATATCTGATATAATTAATTTGATAAAACACTTTTATCTTTAACACGGCTTCAATTGTTTCATATTATATTCAAAAAAATCAAACATGACTGAATCATTTTATAAGTTATCAAGTAAATTTTACTTGAAATTTATATCTAAAAAAAATGTAGTTATCTTTAAAATAATGTAGTAAAAAATTAATAGAACTTATAAATTAAAGGCTTTTAAATTGAAAGTTGACATTGCTAAAATATTTGATATGAAACGTCAATCCTTAGTTTAGAATAGGCATATGTCAGATATTTTTTGATTTTTATTACATAATTTATACTAAAATTATTCAATTTGAAGCAGTTTTTTTATAGTATGTATACCATGTGTTGTTGAAGTGAAGGAGTTAACACCTTAGATAAACAATTTAAGGTTTTCTCTTAAATAGCTTTGGGCTTAGAGATTAGATGAATGGCAATTTTTGAGACCGATGTCACTTATCCAACTGTAATAACTAGTAGAATCATATTGTCATTAATTACTTATTAATATTTTACCTGAAAACCGGATGTATAACTTTGTGACTTTCTCGTTTTTTTTATACCGGTTTTAGCGGTCCAAAATTGATCCAAAATAGTTGCGAACTCGTATTTGTCATTTTATGTGACGTCGCTATGTCAGTGAAACGGTAGCCAATTGTGCCACTAGTAATTATGTTCATGTGATAAGATTATAGCAATCTATATAAGTTTAATATTAAGATTACATAAAAACAGTTTTCGACCGTTGTAACTATATGGTATTTCATCCATAACAAAGTGTTTAATATTTAGTTTTTATTTTGGTTTTATTATCTAAATATACAATGCACGTTTGTTTACTTCCTAAATTTCACCTTATTCAAAGTGCATTTAGTTTATGTGGAAACATTGCATTCATACGTTAACTTCAGTTTTTTAACATTATTACAATTTCTACATTTATGTCAAAACTTAAACAGGGTAATGAGATGCCCTCGGGTTATATTTAATGCATGTGACGATCATGATGATAGACCAAACCTGTTTGGTGGCCATCTAGAAATAGCTATTTTGCGTAAGTACTATGATAGAGTTAAGCTTTACAATGACACTATTTATTGGCCACAGAATCGTTTTGACACCTTCCGTGTACTCGTGAATGAATATGTTAACGTATTATATTACAAATGGTCAAATTCGATTTACAATCGAACGTCTAGTGTTAATATATCATCGATCTAGACTACACGTGTGTACTTTTATCATAAAACGATTTTTGAGAATATCCATTGATTAACTTGAGATGATATTGGTTGTAGGCCAAGTTTCACACTCATGTGCTACTGAACAACGGCACCTATCGCTACACAATTGCATTTTGTCATTGGTACTATTAGTTTCACTGACTCTCGGTGACATTGCAATGATTTAGCCGGATAACAGTTAGTATATATATCAATTGATCGCAAAAAAAAAGAAACATGCATTTTCAATACAGCGAAAATTATTATTCAAAATTAACGTCCATCCGTTTGTATAATAGACTAATTAAATATGCAGTATACATGCATATTTAATTTTTATACAGTACGTACTTTCACAGACAGTTAGGTGATTGTTTGTTTGCATTAATTTTATTCAAGAAATCGATAACGCTAAAGATATAATTTCTGTTTTATTGCAGTCAACTCTCTTACTAATATTCAATTTCTGTATTCTTGTGTGTCGCATATTGGATACGGTATGGTAAAAAATAAAAGTTTAATCTAAG